CACTTGAAGGGTTAAGGATAGTGGGAGCTGGCACCCAGACCCTTCCAATGGGCAGGAGTGGTCTGGGTGCCTTTAATGAAGTTGTCTGAATACAGGGATCCTTTCATTTTAACCCTTTAAAGTAAAACATTGCTGATTAGTAGATATTGCAATATTTACATAAAAGGGTTAACCCTTTAGTAGTCGTCTTCCTTGCAACAACTAGAGGAGCTTGCGCTGTGAGAACAGAGTCAAACTTGGTTTGTTCCACATTATTTGAACGCTAGAACCGCCAGTGGGAACCATCAAGGCAGTTTGGCAAACCACATTTGCTAAAAGCAGAAAACTTTGTTTGTGTTAACAGATGTGGTCGATGAACTGACTCGTGTCTGTGATTAAAAAGAAATATTATGAAGCTGTGCTGGTTACTGCGCAGAATAAATGCTAATGAAAAAAAAATAATCATAATAATACAGATTTAATTACAGAAAGAGAAAATGTTGCCATGGGCCATGGCTTTTCTAAGATAAACTCTAAATGGTGCTTTTTTTGACATGAACAATACATGGAACTCCACAATGCGGTTTAAAATAACGTTCTTTGTTCACAGAGAAATGTATTAAAAATTGCTGTTTTGTGCACCCATCCTGGATTCTGAGGATAATAGACTTTCAGCTTAATATATAGATTGTGGGGACCCCAGTCATTTTAAATTGCCATAATAGCTGTTCATCCTGTGTTTTATCCTGGAACACATAATGATGACTTCAGATGATTGGACTCCTCCGAGGTTTGCTGCTTTTTACCTGCATGCTATCAGCAAGCAAATTAAAGAGACACTCCAAGCACCATAACAACTATGCACTTTAGACTATTTATGGTGCAAGAAGGGCTCCTGCCCTGCATGTCTTAAAATTGCAGCACTTTTCAAAAATCTTTGCTATGAATGTACCTTGCTCTACTGATTTTTGCTTCTTTAGTTTATTCTTATTTTTTTATATTTTTGTTTTTCTTTTCAAAGTAATACTATCACTTTGATCTTTTGGTTTTTTTTTACTGTGTCCTTGGTTGATGTGAAAGAAGGGCAAATGCATTTTGCTTAATATTTCTATGTCCAGTCATATTATATTATTATATTATTTTTTAAATTCTCTGCAATGTAATGCTTTTAACTCTAGATGCGTTATTTATTGACGTGTATTATTTTGACTTGATTTGTGCTTTTTTTTATGTTATTTTGTTTGTTCCTTCTTCAATATGCCTAAATAAAAATATTTAATATTTTTTTATTTTGCCACTTTCTATTATGCCACTAACGTATGCAACAAGGAAGTGACTAAACTAACTCAGCCAATCCTTAGTCACTCATACAAGTGGGAATTGGATCGATCATGATCCGATGTTTGTAGGTTGTGCATTTGGCCCAACCAATCCAAGCCCCAACACCAATGGATAACCCCATGGCAGACGCTTCTAAAGTTGACTTGCAAGCTGCAGACATAAAAGGGGTTATATCGGCCAAATACCATTGATGTGTCCATAATGTGTCCAGGGAGCAATCTCTAGACTGCTGTTATACTGCAGATAAGTGGTTAATTTCTTTGTAAAGACAGGTCATCTAGATCATAACATGTTTCTCTGGATAATGCTGTCCAAAACGACAGATGGCCTTGGAAATCCTCTGCCATTTTTGACTGATCAATCATCTAATAAATGTGATTATATAGCGATCATTGTCCCCCGTGGCCAACTGAATTTCAATAATATATGGATCTTGAACATAGTTTTAAAAATCTCGCATACTAGGATGCAGACAATGTGATTTGGGTTTTTTACTAATCAGCTGGTACTCAATTAGACTCGTTTGTTGATTTCCATTTAATTGGCAACATTTTAAATAACAACTTCATTAATTATTTTGCTTACATACATGAAATTAGGCCACATAATCTGTAAATTAATAACCCCAAGCAATGACACTGAATGAAAGTCGGCATGTGTTTAATACCATAGCTGGCTCACGATCTCGGGCAAATCATAATTGCCTAATTAATTAGTTTCATTCAAACACTTCGATTGCAAGTTCTGCATGTCAGGGATGCAGCGAAAAAATAAATATATAATTCTGTATTGTTTAATCTATGAAAAATTGTGCTTTGGTATTGAATGCTTTCATAACCACATTTAATGTTTGTTTTTTATTTCTTCTGACATACCCCTCCCACCTACTATAAATTACATAAAATCACTTAAGCATTAAGGCTCACCCGGAGTGCCTCAAGGACACAATTATTTAAAGTGTCTGCTCTTGTGGAGTAATTGAGAACGCTGGAATAAACAGCTATGCTGTTTGGCTATCAATGCATGGCAGGGAAACTTTCAAGCTATGTATGTGGGTCTATTGGCTGCATTGATTTTATGTCAAATATAGATTGCTGAGCTATTATCGATGCATAAAATCGATGTTCGCCATTTTCTTTCTACCTCCCAGAGGCATTAAGCTATGTTGCATAGCACAATTTTGAAGAAATGGGGGGGAAACAACAACCTGTAACGCCAATCCCTGTATCGCCTGCAACCCACTTCACAACTAATAGGGCGTCTGTTAGCCTGGGGTAGGCTTATTTTCTTTTGTGTAGATTGTACCATGGACATACTTACCTTGTTCAATTACTTTCATCAATATCACCTAACCAACTTAAAGGGACACTGTAGACACCCAGACCACTTTAGCTCATTGAAGTGATCTGGGTGCACTGTCCCAGTCCCCTTAACCCTGTAAAAGTAATTATTGCAGTTACTGAGAGACTGCAATAATTACTACCCAGGGTTATTTCCACCTCTGGTGGCTATCTAGCAGACAGCCACTAGAGGGACTTCTGGGTCGTTAGGCGACTTTTTGTCACCTGACGCTGGGTGGCTTCACTCTATGTATGAGGACATCCAGAATCACTCAAAACCCCATAGGAAAGCATTATGCAATGCTTTCCTATGGGGTTATCCTAATACGCTTGCGGCATTCGCTGTGCATGCGCATTAGGTGCCTAACTGGGATTTAGGTGCCAAGGCTGAGCCTGACCCAGCATCAAGGGAAATGTTCCCACCTGTCAACCAACACAGAGATTTCCCCAACTTGCTTCAAATATTTTCATGGAGTTGGAGCTAAATGAAGACTCCAAGCATCATAATCACTACAGCCTCCTGTGATTGTGGTGCCAGGACTCAGAGTTCCCTGGTTAAGTAGTCAAGCCACTACTGAACAGTGCACTGCAAGCCTTAGCTCAGTGGAGGTCAGTGGAAGTGCTTTGTAGGAGACATGGTTCCATTGGACTGCAGGTAATTTGGCAAAACAACTGACAAATCTTTTGACTACTGACCCTATGAAGGTACTGGGCCAGTAATGGCACCAAAACCTTTACAGTATGTTGAGAGGTTATGGTGCGTTGAGTATTCCTTTAATCAATGGCCAGGAGGGAACAAAATAAATGGAGGAATCTGTGTCAGGACTGAAGTGAATTATGATATCAATTGTTAAATCTCTAATATACTTTTAGCTGAAAACAGAGCATTACATGAATAAAAATTAACACACGCTCTTAGTGATTTTTGTAAAAAAAAATTCATGTTTTATTCAATGGTGTTAAATTTAGAGAAGTAACGGTATCCCTTTAATTTTCAGAGACGTAGCGCTGACCTCTCTCTAAAAAGATGCACTGTAGAAGGTGGCCATGCTGCTTCCTATGGGGTTGCATTGAGTTGAGGAGAATGTTCCACCATGCATTTACCTCACATGTCCCTTAAAAATTTACAATTTTCTTTCCACTATATATAAAATTTAGTTAACGCAGAAATTTGGGATATCCGCATCTTATCTGTGCTTTTTCAAATGCTGAATTTAATTGATGTTCTCATCCACAAATCTAAACCAGGCCTAAAAAATGTTTCCAGCACAATATCAAAGCGTACAATGTTTTTATTATACAGTATCTCACAAAAGTGAGTACACCCCTCACATTTTATATATGTTATATCTTTTCATGTGACAACACTGAAGAAATGACACGCTGATACAATGTAAAGTAGTAAGTGTATATCCTGTATAACAGTGTAAATATGCTGTCCCCTCAAAACAACTCAACACACAGCCATTAATGTCTAAACCGTTGGCAACAAAAGTGAGTACAGCCCTAAGTGGAAATGTCCGAATTGGGCCCAAAGTGTCAATATTTTGTGTGGTCCCCATTTTTTTCCATTACTGCTTTAACCCTCATGAGCATGGAGTTCACCAGAGCTTCACAGGTTGCCACTGGAGTCCTTTTCCACTCCTCCATGAGACCTTGTGCTCCCCCACCTTCTGTTTAAGGATTCCCAACAGATGCTCAATAGGGTTTAGGTCCCGAGACATGCTTGACCAGTCCATCACCTTGCAATCTGCAGTACCTCTTGAAAATACTTAAATGCTTTATCCTGAAGTCATGACTGATCTCTTGGGGTGAAATTGCAAAAGTACAGGCATTAAAATTGATGCGTCTGGCTCTAATTAGGATTTATTGTATAATACCAAAAATATTATCAGACTTGGTACAAGATGATGCGTTTCATTATAGTATCTCACCTGACACCTACATATGTTAGCAGTATAAAAATAATTAGACCAATGTATAGCTTGTTTATTTTCTTTTTCAATCAATAGAATGTAGTGTTTATGTTTTCGTCCACATTTGTTAATTAAACTGTCCTAGAGAGGTTTGACAACATTTGTGGTTTTCCCCAGTGTGCAGAGATTGTACTCACTCTAGATGCACTGGTGTTAACGGGACACTATAGGCACCCAGACCTCTTCAGCTCATTGAAGTGATCTCGGTGCAGTGCCCGTCTCAGTTAAACCTTGCAATTGTAATGATTGCAGTTATTGATAATCTGCAATAATTACCTTGCAGGGTTAATACAACTTTATATTCCTAGCACTATAGTTTCCCTTTAAGGAATGTATATATCCACATTACCTATATCAATTGCATCCAATCTAGATGTAGTAATGCAGTGTAGGACTGTAAGTTTTATAGCAGGAACAGACGCGTAAAGCAAAATAAAATCACATTTTCATAAGCATTTTCTTTATAAGGAAACATCTGTCAAGACATGTAACTGATATAAATAACACTTTCAGTTTAAAAATACAATTACGAAAAACAAAACATAGATAAAATGTTACAGCATAAGAATTACAATTTTAAAATGCTCCAGGAATGATCCTTGCGGCATAGATATGGGATTTTTCAGGAGTTATTACACAGATAATAACAGATGTGAAAGAAATACCATCTGTAATATGACACAACGAACACTTACACCAGTCTGCAACTCACAACATTATCGAGATCCCACAGTGGCATTTTAGCAATATTGTGTACCATCATGAAATCAGTGTATGATGCTGCCATCTAGTGGTGGTTTGGTATTTTAAAATATTTTATGTTCATACAAAAAAAAAATGAATAACCAGACCACGCATATTAATTTATTTAAACTGGAGCCATATGCTGTTTAACTATACTGATCATTACCAATGAATAGAGCAGAAATGGCCTCTACGCTTTGTGAAAAAAATTTTTTAAATCTTTAATTGAATGAATTAAATTAGCAGCTCAGGAGACACATTTTATATCATTTCTCCTTTCCCATAAACTTGTTTTATTAGGGTTTTAGAATGTACAAGCATCCAGTAAGAGGTGGATATAGGAATGTGCTCTGCGTTAAAACCGAAATCTAGATTCTACGACCAGACTGAATTACAGTTTATCCATAGACTCAGATAATTGCTATTCGGTTGCCAGATTTAAACTTATTTCTGGTCAAAGAATCCAGCTTGTAGTCAAACCGCAGGTCATGAGATTATCAGCCTGATGGTGGGCATCACAGGTAGAAAAGCGTTCAAAACTTAGCTGCCTTAACTGGAAGAGAGACAAGAGGAGATGTAGTATCATAGTGTTAACAATACATCTGTACCATTAGTAAGGTCTATGCTTATTGTGGCTAATTCTAATTTTCGAAGACTACCAAAAGCCGATGATTACAAAACTATTCCAATCTGAACACACATTGATGTTTTATGATGCAGTCATATGGACAGTCTCATCTGTTCCTTGTAAGGGATATCTTTAAAGGGACCCTCTACTGCCCTAAAAACTAAATCCATATTTAGTATGTCTGCCCTCACTGAAAACATGCATGTATTTAATTACCTGTTTTTATTGGGGTTTATCTAGAAATGTCTTACAAAAGCTGCAGATATTTTGTCTGCAGCTTTTGCAAACCCTCCCCTTCTAACCCCGCCCAAACTTTCTGTTGTTGTCCAATCACAATTTTCTCAGTGCAGCTCAATGAGAAGTCTTTGCAAGGCAGGTGCTCTGAACAATTGCTTCCGCTTGAGATCAGTTCCACTGAGGACAAACTCTTTACACATAAAGCAAGCCAGCAAAATTGTGCTTTAGGCATGTGGAGTGTTCTTTTAAATATTAGCCTACTTGTAGGTTTTGAGAGCTGACATATCACAGCAGATTTATCCAGTGAGCAGTGTAGGCCAATCCCCTGTATAGCTGCTATAGAACATCATTGAGAGGAGTGGAGAAGTAGACTAAAATGTTGGGAATGTGAGGTTTTGTCAAACAACCTGTGTCGACATATTACTTAAGCAAACTTTGTGTCCTGATTTTCAGTCTGTGTAAATTAAGGTGAAACTGTATTCCTAACACTATAGCTTCCCTCTGCCAAAACCTAGAGGTCCCCCATGCATCCAGTCCACCGAGACCACGTCAATGAGATGAAGTGGCCTAGGTGCCTATAGTGTCCCTTTTAGGCCTTGGATGGGATTCCCTTTCCATTGCTTTATGGAAACCATGAATCCTGAGTCTGTTTTATCCACAACGTTTGTGTGTGTTTTTAAAGAGTAACAATGAAAGAAGTCTTCATTAATTTGGCACAACATGAAGCTTTCAGTTCTTAATATTGATGCATCGGAATCATGGAAACATGAACATGAACATCATGAATTCATAATTCTGGGTATTTTATTACAGAATTAGAATGGACAATTCCTAGCAATATATTTTTTTAAGATATTATAATTATATATTATAAGCCACTCTGGCACTTTAATGGTGAGTCATTTATTTACCAATTGCTATTCTCTTCTGTGTACCTACTGGATAACACTGTTGGACATTTTGGTTATTTTTAAATATTAATAAAATACCAAAAACGATGTCTTTGCCAAAGGCCAAGCTTCATATACAGCAGAATGTAAACAGTTTACGATGTATTTCATATATTACAATGAATCTGTCATATTTCAGGTGAGACTACTATCACTTGTGCTAGCTATAAAATTAGATAAGTACTATAGGATGGGTGGCACAATCTAAATGTCTATTTTATAAGGAGATGTTTTAAGTAAGGGCTATTGTCTAGGATAATTCTAAAAAAAACATTTGTGGACTCTACACGTTCAACTGTTTTTTGTTTTTGTTTTTCTTAATGTTTTTGGACCATGTAATAACTTTAAGAAAGATTGTAATTTTAAATCAATCAATAAAGCTAGATTGTACCTGCGTTTCACATATCTTTTATGTATGGTTTCATTTTTGTAATATTTAGATTGATAGAACTTCATTCTGATATCACAAATGTCTTGAGACAAGGCACCGTTATGACATATAATGCATGTCAACTAGACCTTCCCATGACTCCTTTCTCAACCCAAAAGCTTCAATAGATGAGTAAATGTCACAAATTGGTCTCACAGGATCACTGCAAGAGCCATTGCGGACTGCTACCCCCATGACATTAATTATCAATATGGCAATTCAGTATACATGACCCATTCAATAGACATACACTGTTTATGTGTGCGCTTCTTTTTACAGTGTGACAGAATATACTTTGAAGGAATACGTGGAAAAATTATCTTTTAAAGGGTAGATGTAAAATAAACTGTTCAGAATTTTATAACATCAGTCTATGGCCAAATATTTTTTAATGCAATATAGTATCAGGTATTTGTAATCGGTCCTTGTATGACAAGCACCTGCATAACCCCCTTTATATAATGACCTGCCTAGTGAGCCATCTGTTATGACAATTATGCTTTATTATTGTAAATTGTAAGGCAGTCCAATGCAAGCAGGCTACTTGTCGCTATGTTCCCTAATGCAATTTAATGAATATGTTGGTAATATGAAATATCAAGCATATCCTTTAAAAAAATAAAATACACACTAATCAAAACACGACCCTATGAACCTCAAACAAAGCATGTGGTCTGATCAGAATTGCAACTTACTGCTTCCATCGGCAGGGTTTATATTTCTATTAAAATGAATCCTAACAGAATATAACTCCATTGGCTCTCTGCCATTTAGATGGCCTCGTAAATACTTTTTACATTCTTTTATTACTGAAGCAAAAACTATATCTATATATATATAATGGTTTCCTTAAATCGTACTGGATAAATGCCTTAAAATGGCCAATATGAACATTTCTACCAGTTAATTTCTATTAATAATTATCCATAAATCTTTCAAACATTAAATCACAGAGAAAGTGATAAGGAAATGTGTTATATATGTGTAATCACATACCCATATCTATGTTTAAATACCTGTCCAAGTCTTTAAATGTTTCCGGATTGCTCCTTAAATATATCCATTTGACATTTTTTGGGGACAGGAGGGAATTATGTTGGGGACAGCATAACCTGAAAGAGTATGGTTCTGGTCACCCTGCCCTGCTGGAATTAAAGCTATATCAGAATTTTATGAACATAAGGATCAGTGTGTAATAATAATACAGATAATTTATACCAAGATAATGGCACTTCAAATTTCTGCCCAAATATCAGGGTGATGTTTAGCTTTTGCTATTCTTCAACGTCTGCAGGAATTTCTTAAAAATGTTTTCGTATGGTTTGATGGAACACTCCAAGTACCATACCAGCCTGCTGCAGTGGTTATGGTGCCAATAGTGCCCTGGAGCCATACCATAGTAAGCAGGCAAACATGTTTTAGTACAGTTTACCAACTTGCCTGTTTACCAGCATTCCCTTCATCCAATCTTTGCCTGCAGGAGAACTAGAATTGCTCCGTAGAACAAAACCTGCCTTATGGGTCAGTGTTCAGTGGATGAGAGTATTAGCTGATTCTTCCCTACTTCAGAAGGCTTCATTCTATGGAGATATCTGGCTTCTCCTGCAGGTTCATGACAAGTTTTCAAACTTTACCAAAACAGTTAAACTACTTCCGTGGGATGGTGCCAAGCAATCCTAACACCATAGCAACTACTGTGGGCTATAGTGGTTGTGGTTCTTGGAAAAGTAATTTAAAACACAATAATGACATCGGTTTGGAAAAACGCATTGAATCAAAAACTATGAAAACCAGAAACATTGGTGTGCATTTTGTATGTGCATGGTTAATTGGTAGAAAAGATAGTGTGTGAAATTCATGGGAGGGGTACATATATATATTTTCTGAAAATCCCTACTGGGTCTTACTATTGATCACATGGAATCCAAGGCATTGTACACTGAGAGGTCAGCAATGAAGAAAACTTAGCACTTAAATCATAAATGGGGTTTCTGTTTTTTTATACATCTTTAAGTCATCTAGGCTGTTGATTAAAGTGTTCTAACATCTTCCCTGAAGCCTATCCAAGCAGGATGCTTTAATGATCCATTTGTTCTATGACACAGCATGTTCTGGGATTTTCCTGAGCTGTAACTAAAAAGCTGTGGAGAATTAGCAAAGAATTGCAAGTTTCAGCCCAAAATAGTGAAGCAAAATAAAAAGGCACATTTTTCTATTTTGGCCCATGTCGTCCTAAAATGTTCATTCCTTTGTCATTTCTACATGATTCACAATTCACGGTACTGCCGATAATGGTATATTCAATCCGGTCCCAGGTTTCTATTAAGCCTTAAGGCCATCGCCTTCACCCCAAGTTGGCATGTGTACAGGTAATTAACACAACAGCACACAAACACAGCAGCAGTTAGTGCAAACAATTAAAACATACAATAATAAATAAACAGGTTTATAAGAAAGTTAGTTACATTGGCAAAGACTGACTGGGCGTTGCAGACTCGTTACTAGTTGGCATCACTTGTTGATACTGGGTCACAAATTTCTACGCCAAAAACACACAGCAACACTTAGCAAAGAATGACACAATTAAAACAACCCCTGGTCAATTAATAATACAGTGTGAATATTCCAAATGTACAAAAATCTGTATAAAATAAGGCACTTCAGAAAATATTATCTACCGTCTTAGACCATAATGTTTCCGAGAATGACTGGCGTTACATTTTGGCCCCTTTTCCATTACAGTTAATAGTTTCGCCTGATGGCAAAATAATGCTAAATTAAAACAGAACAAAGATATGCTCTGGATGTGTAATTACTGGAAAATAAATATTTTTGAAACACTAGTGAAAGTAGAAGTCTAGGACCAATGGGTTAGAAACCCGGAATTCAGCTTGTAACTTGTTCTCCCAAGCAAGTCACGTTCTGCAACGTTGGAGGATGGTTTTACTGTAATTCCAGTATTTCAAGGCATATCAAAGGCTTGATTTGTAACAGGTAGCACAGTTCATGCAATCGTTCAGTGTTCTACATTAAAGTGCATGTTCAGATCCACGCTTCTAGATATCATCGTGTCGAGCCGAAGAGGAGATGTTAAAACACAAAGAAATAAGAGCCAAGGAAGTTCCACAGCAATAAAGGAGATGTGCAAACCATGATTCATTTGAGAACATTTGATAAGTTGCAGAAAGTTTTCATCAAATCACTGGTAGACCTAGAGACATCCATCTTGGAATCATTTGGCCTTGGTTCTTGATATTTTATCTGAAATTGCTCTATGTTGGAGTATTGATTAGATCAGCATTTCCACTGCTTTTTGTCTACCCCTTTATTTTCAGGGATATGTCTGTAGCGGCATTTATCTCCAAAACTGCACCCGTTGGATCTCCAGTAGTAACATTCGCTGGTCTTTACTGCTCTTTTTTTCTTGGAACTAAGGGCCAAAAGAAATAAAATATTACTTTCCACAGCTTCTCAGATTAATATTTTACCTACATATTGTGCTAGCCAATAATATGCAAGTAAGTAGATCTAACAAAAATAAGACTGGCACCCCATGCAATTCTCAGGTGCCTCAACTCAAGCTATGGCAGGAAGATTCTGTATGTTTGTGCCTCATCGGGCAACCTTTGCATTCTGTCCCCCCAAAAAAAGCATAGGAGTAGAAATTGTAGATTAAATTAGGCAAGGTCCACATGCACACAAAGTCTGTTCATCTAGATACCGGACATACATGATGAACATTGAACTGAAACATTGCTTCTTTTTTATATACTAATCTGCTAATAATGAAAATTTGCGGTCATCATAATGAAGTGCTCACCTTTATTGGATAGTATGAAATATTTACTGAAGAACAGAAGGTTTGCTATCAATTGGTTGGTCATCCTTGTCCTATCAAATAAATAGGACAAGGTTGAAACAAAACTTCTTTCACCTGACAGCTGCGTGGACCTTTTGAGACACCTGGCCTAAACATTTATGTTTTAACAATCCATTATGTACAATTTATGGATAACAAGACTTAGTAGCTTTAGTTAAGGAAACATTAATTTAAGGACAATGTGTGTAAATAACTTTATATGACATAGGTTTAGCTTAGTCTCTGAGCATAAATAAAAAGATCAAAAAGCCAAAAAACGATTAAGACTCTAGGTAAGAAAAATGAAAACAATTTGAAAGAGGTGGCTTGTTTATTAACAGCTGCTCCCCAGAGGCCAGCATGAACTTTACACAGGATCATTTGTTTAAGAATTTAAAAAAAAAAAAATGGTTAAGAAGAAGTGCGTTGACGTTTGCTGTTTTTCTTTGTAGCATTATGTGTTTCCAGTAGAGAGGTGCGTTTTCATCATAATTTATACAAGACCAAGAAAAGTATATTCGTGACAGCATGTTTTTGTTAAGTACAGTTCTAAGGACTGTCTCCTTGGCTGCTGATGAAAGTGTTCAAAGATCTCCCCTGAAGACCATCTAAGCAAGATGCAGTGGATCTCTAAAATATGTCAGTTGTTTGTATACAGAAACTATGGTAATTGGGGGATACACCCAGAATATGCATTTCTAAGTAGTGGTGCAGGTGTAAATATAATATTATATACACAATACAGATTAGAGAACAGCACACACACACAAAAAATAATAATTCAGTTTTACATTTTACAAAGCTACTTAAAATTACCTATCATAACAAACGAATATGGTGGGCTTAACACAATATGGCCATATGGTGTCATTCAATCCCTATATTTGTTTGCAAAGATAGGTGATTTTAAGTATCCTTGCAAAATTTCAAACCATATATTTTTTGGGTACGCTGTTTCTTAATCTGTAAGTTTTATTGTATACATCACAGGGATTCAAAGTAAATTTAAAATTTAAGGTCCAGTTAATTAAATGGGAAAATGTCCCCAGGCCAGCTAGGCTTCAAGTTCAGCTACTTTGGTCTTAAAATTGAAAATTACTTAGCATTCACTTTGATTTCCCAATGTTTCACACTTTAGTAAATAGCCATGTGAGAAAATAGAACAGGAGAAACTTGGCATTTAAGCAATTGGGATACTATGGACACTTGGGATACGAAGCCCAAGGTTCAGGACACTCCCTATATTAGTGCCAGGTTCTTGAAGAATAGAATACTAAGACTAGCTTCAAGACACTCTGGATACTAGGACACTTAGGATACGGAGCCCAAGGTTCAGGACCCTCCGGATACTAGGACATCTAGGATACTATCACCAGGTTCAGGATACATGGGATACTGGAACAAGATTCAGGACACTCTTAGTACTAGGACACTTGGGATACTAGGACATTTAGGACACTGAGACCAGGTTCAGGACCCTTGGGAAACAATGACATTTGGGAAACATAAAACTGGTTCAGGAGCCTTGGGACATTAGGATATTCTGGATACTGAGGCTAGGTTCAGGATACTCAGGATATTAGGAATTGGTTTAGAATTCTTGAGATGCTTTACCAGGTCCATGAAACTCAGGATTCCAGGACCTGGAATGTCGACTATAATCAACTAAGGTGGATTTGCACACCGGCTGGCTCTTCCCCCACAGACTGAGCTATTGGATTACGTGGCCATTAGGACTTCTGCTGCCATTTGGTATGATAATAGGCCCTGAAGGGTTTGAAGGTCTTCAGAGGTTGACAAGAGGGGGATAGGAACAAACAGAGAAACAATGCTCTGACAAAAAAAAAAGGGAAACGCTGGTATTATTTTATAATTTATATAGCGAAAACAAATTCCATAGCACAGTACTATTACAAGGGAAGCTGACAAAGCAGGCAACAGCACTACAGCCAGCTAGTGGCACTAAGTGGTATTGTACCATACTGAAAGGACCAAAAACCAAAGTGATTTCTCTGGGACCATGACAATATGTAGCTTTTATTTCTATATAGTATGTTTTAATTTGTCTGAAGAAATTGACCATTTGGGTGCAGTTACTACATATATATTACATAAAAGAGGATCGCATGGCAGTAGATGGTGACGGCCATGAGAGACAGCTTCAGGTAAGTAAAACTCACCCTTCCCTACAGCCACCGCATGTTACCATAGACAGAACTATCTAAAATAAATGTTTTGTTTAAGAAAAATCCTTGATCATATAGTCTAATCATTAACCATAAGCAGGATCTGTATTATCAAACATCAAACAAGGGACAGGCTAGCACCACTGTGATCTAACTGCGGAATGAGGTTAGGAAAAAAAAAGCATCGAGCAGTTTTTCTACAGCAATGAGAACATTTGCTTTGTGACTTAAGTAAATATTGCATGTTGCCAACTTGTACTCGTTTGCTATAGGGCATTGTTACATTGATTGTCAATATTACCATTAGCAATCGCTTGTACACAATACACTCCCCCATTTAGGAAGCTGATGATTCATTTGTTAAACGAAGGTTGTCACACAGTAACTACAGACCCTGCTAGACGTACCTTCATTTTTCATTCCCGAGTTGTGCAAGCAAACCAAGCAATGAGCAAATAAGGAGTTCTACACCTGTATCTGATTCATATCACATGTAGAATACCCAGAGGGACACTCTGAGGGTGATTTACTAAAGTGAGAATTCAAAGTGATATTTCAAATGTCAGGCCACAGTAGCCAAACTGAAAGCATAGTCGACAGATCATTTTTCCAGCTCGGCTATTTTGACCTTAAATTGGAAATTCACTTTGAGTTCACACTGTAGTGAATAAACCAGTTTGAACTGAAGTATGTATTCAGAAAGGCCGCCACATGCAAGTGTAGATGAACAAATTGCTACATAGCTGGAAATGTAAATCAGCATTTTCATTGCATATGATATAATCCAGGCAATGTTTCCTTCCTAAAGTCTAATACTTGAGAAGCTGAATGTGAACTTGCCTTCCAAATGATAAACTTTTCAGCCAAATCTTTGTTGACAGATGTATAAAATTTAGAAGACTGTCACACATCCATTGTAGACCAACATTAAAGTGGCTCTATCATGCCCCATTGACGTAGGCTTCTGGCGAATGACATGCGAGGAGCTGAAGAGGATCTCATGGAAGTAGATGGTGGTGGCCATGAGGGACAGCTTCAGGTAACTAAAACTCTTCCCTTCCCTACAGTCACCGCATGCCATAATGTCACCATCAGGAGTCTTTACAAAATATGCAAAGATCCCAGGTGACAGAGCCGCTGAAATTGCAGAATGGTTAGTTCTGTATTGCATCTTCTATAAGGGTGCAGTAATATGTGATTATTTTGTCACATTTCTGCTCGGCTGGAGCCATCCTTGGCAACTGTGAAATGGAAACGTGAAATATTTCTGGTCATGTAGGATATATTATATAATCTGCCAGCTATTGTATCTAGCAGACCAAATCTAGTAATTCACAGGGATAGAATCATACCTGTAAAGTATAGTGGATCATAAAATAATCCTTAAACGGACACTATAGGCACCCAGACCACATCATCTCATTGAAGTGGTCTGGGGGCAGTAACCCTATCCCCATAATCCTGCAATGTTAATTATTGCAGTTATTGATACACTTTAATAATTGCCTTGCAGGGTTAACTCCAACTCTAGTGACTTCTACCAGACGGCCACTCGAACTGCCTGCGGGTCCTTAGTAGACTTTTGGCCTGCTAAATGATGCTGCACATCCTCACTCTTTGTATGATGACATCCAGCATCAACTAAAAAAAAACCCATAGGAAAGCAATGATTCAAAGCTCTCCTACGGGGTAGTCCTGATGCGATTTTGGTGGTCGCTACGCATGCACATAGGGTCCCCCTGCTGGCTCTTGTTGGTGGAGTCAGAACCAGCGCTGTGAGTAATCGCTAGAATCAGGTAAGTGACAAAAGGGTCTTTAACTTTAATGAGTAGGGGTTGTCATTCGTAAATGTCTTGACATCCTAAAATTGGAACCAGCCAATAGACACAACTTACTTTATTGAGGCTGTCTTTGTTTGTGCTTCTGACGTGCTCACAGTCACAGGTTGGAAAGGCTTGTCTGGGTATCTGATCAATAACTTTGTATTCTCTACTTCTTTTCCCTGTTGACAGGTGAAAGAAAAGATGTTTGTCCATATTATTTGAAATGCAATAAACGTGCCTCATTGGAATGAAGTGTGATGTGAAGTTACTGTACTTTTTTTAATTAGAAACCTTTTCGGTACGAAGGGTATAAAAAAATAAATAAAATAAAAAAGACAGTGTAAAACAGTTACATAAGCCAAATTCTAAATAAATGAAATGATATCATAAGGCAAGATGTCTCAATTTTACCATGAAATACACAACAAAGAATGCAGGAGTGACGATATCAATCTATTCAACACTGCAGGCGATTGGGAACTACAGTGTATAGTGTTTTAAAAATGTTAACATAAGACTATGAGAAAACTACTCAAATGAATAGTACAGAAAAATATAGCAGGTAACACATCTTTGGGTCATAGATTACACAGTAAAACTTACCAGGAAAGGTTAAAGGATCTTAACATGTATAGCTTGGAGGAAAGACAAGACGGGGGGATATGATAGAAACATTTAAATATATAAAGGGAATCAACACAGTAAAGGAGGAGACTATATTTAAAAGAAGAAAAACTACCACAACAAGAGGACATAGTCTTAAATTAGAGGGACAAAGGTTTAAAAATAATATCAGGAAGTATTACTTTACTGAGAGGGTAGTGGATGCATGGAATAGCCTTTCAGCTGAAGTGGTAGAGGTTAACACAGTGAGGGAGTTTAAGCATGCGTGGGATAGGCATAAGACTATCCTAACTATAAGATAAGGCCAGGGATTAATGAAAGTATTTAGAAAATTGGGCAGACTAGATGGGCCGAATGGTTCTTATCTGCCGCCACATGCTATGTTTCTATGTTACACATGCTCTCCTTTGCTCTGAATTATTGATTAATTGCTTATAACGCAACCATGGCATAAAATGGCACAAAATGAGGGCATTGGTTGAATGAGCTTGTAGACTAGTAATATGTCCTGCAAGTGGGAATGGCATGAGCAAATCATGACGGTTGGTATAAAGAGTTCTGTATTGTCAACTAGCAATGAAGAATGAGAAAGAGTTCCTTTGCATTGTGTCAACTAATTTATACATTGATTGTTAGATATCCCAAATCATACTGCAATAAATATATTGCAATTAAATAATCAACCAACACCCGTCAGCAGTGCTTTCAGATACCTACCTGCAAAGCATCAAGAGCTCGGGCTGCCGCAACAGGACATTTGAAGTTGACAAACGCGCAAAATCTCTCACCAAGGAGTCGGATGCTGTGGATTTCTCCATAACTAAACAAAATTAACACAAAAAAATAAATAAAGTTAGAACACTACACACGGATCAAAGTATTTTTTTTTTCACCCAAGTCATTAAAAATACACAAAACATCCTCCACCTGTTTAAAAGCCATTTAAAGAATTCATTACTGAAGCACTGTTGTTCTGCCCGCTCTTGCAAAGAAATGGTAACTAATAACGACAGTGCTAATTTCATGGCTAATTATGTGGGGAAGCAGAGTTAATGAACCCACCACATTTTACCAAAGTCTGCAGGTACAATTCAGTCGCCTCAATAAACAGATTAGAATCTGAAGCAGGTCTAGTGACAAGCACTGTGATCAATAGTCATTAGGAATTGACATCTAAGCAACTTTAATGACAAAGAATTATCACGTTCACAATTTCAGAGTTTTGAGAAACATAAACCAGTACAGGTTAACATTCATTAACCGCTCCGTGATCGAGGCTTTTCTGAGATTCTGCGTGGTCGTGACAGTTTTGCTATATGCTTGTTCTACTGTAATTTAACGTTTTCTCATTAAATACACCCACGTGTATTACGTGTTGTTTTCTTAAAGTATAGTTTGTTCTGATACCCTCGATTTATACAGAACACTATTATTATTATTTATATAGCTCTAACACTTTCTACAGCACTCTACAATAGAATGGGGATATTTCACAACATGGAACTAACAAGCAAAACAATGTTGACTAAGACATGCCATGAAGAAGGCCAGACAAGTTTACAATCTAGGAAAATTAGAAATACAATTATGGGGAAAATGCACTGCACAGATTCTTCATTACAAAAATAGATGCAAAACAATAAAAAACAATAAATTAAATCTACTACAAAAATAAAAAAAGATACTCAGATTCCAGAATTTCCTGTAACTTTTCAGCCCAAGAAGTAACTTGGCCTACTCGTTGTGCTAACTTTGTATGACAGCGCGGAGCTGTCAGAGGTTTCTTGAAGTTGTAGCTTAGCTCATAGTGTAGAAAAGCTGAATGACAAGTCTAAGAAACCCCTGCTGTAAGCTATAGTAGTACAAGTATCTGTATGCTCAGATGAAATATTTGATGGAGAGGGAAGAATATACATCTGCAGTGATTTTCACAAATTGATGCAGTTTTAAGACACTATACGCAGGGATCCAGGGGCAGGGTACCTCTATACGCAAGGGATCCAGGGGCAGGGTACCTCTATACGCAAGGGATCCAGGGGCAGGGTACCTCTATACGCAAGGGATACAGGGGCAGGGTACCTCTATACGCAAGGGATACAGGGGCAGGGTATCTCTATACGCAGGGATACAGGGGCAGGGTATCTCTATACGCAGGGATACAGGGGCAGGGTATCTCTATACGCAGGGATACAGGGGCAGGGTATCTCTATACGCAGGGATACAGGGGCAGGGTATCTCTATACGCAGGGATACAGGGGCAGGGTACTCTATACGCAGGGATACAGGGGCAGGGTATCTCTATACGCAGGGATACAGGGGCAAGGGTGTCTCTATACGCAGGGATACAGGGTAAGGTATCTATATACGCAAGGATACAGGGGCAGGGTATTTCTATACACAGGGATACAGGGGCTAGGTATCTATATACGCAAGGATACAGGGGCAAGGTATCTCTATATAACCAACTATAACTGACACAATGGACAAAAAGTTGATGAGGTAAAGGGTACATCGGAACACAGATAAAATGAACATGTTAAGATCCACTATCCTTCTGTTGTGTTATCAGTTTTTATTTTAACATAACTGTTATCAATATATACCAAACACAATTATATCCTTACCATTTAAACAGGTCTCTCAGCTGTTTTTCTGTAATCTGGTCGGTGATATTACCAACCCACAAAGATGAACTCTGTGCTCTGTATAAAGAGAGAGAAATCTTCAACAACACTAAGAATCGTATAATATGTTAAATAGCAAGTACCAGGACCCAGGCTGGCAATTATAACATCCCAGTTAACAGAAGAAAAAAATCTAAGTAAAACTGTATAAATGCCCTTTTCAACATGCATGGTTCGTGTGTTCGCTTCAGATTGAAATAAAACGAGGCATTAAGTGCTGTTTTATTGGAGCATAAAGATTAGTGTAGCATGGGCTGTGTTTACTCAGATTGTGGTATGGTTCACAGCCTCTTTCTTAAAGTAAACCAGCTCAGGTCTTACAACTTTACACATAAACAAGGCGAGTGTGTGGCTCTGTACTCTGGCACGGAAATGGTTAGCCAAATGTTTGCTTCTTAATACATACTGGTTGGCTGGCCGACAAGTCGAAAACAATTCCTAATAAAATATTACTTCTTACTGTAGCCAAGTTGTGGAACTTTGCAATTTAGTTTTCAATGCACTATAATTCAATGCTAAGTTAATAAAAAGGTGTAAGTTTAGTCATTTTAGTTTTAAGACTGACACCAACTCAATTTCTGTTCAGCTTTTAGATTGAAAAAAAGTAAGTTATGCCTTGGGGGAGGGGGGAAATAAAAAAAAAAAGTAAATGTTTTTTTGTATATCCTACTGTAGATATTTATAAATATATATATGTGACATCGAAAGGGAAACAAATGTTAATATCTGGCAAAAGTAGAATCCTTCCTTGTACTAGAGCAATGAGGACACTCAGGAGAAAGGGTCAATTCTCTGTAGGCTCTCGGTAGCCAATCAGGGATAAGGGTAATATTTAGTCAAAATAAAGTAAGGTCGTAGCCTACACTGAACGTGATTGGGAGGAGATGGTGGGAGTATAGAATGTGTATATAGAAACAGAAACCAGGACCTGAAAGCCACATTCTGCAGCATTACACTACCCCCTTGTTTATTAAAGTTGTTTACATGTATTTTAAGAAGTCGTAGAGACGGAGATGTGAAAGAAATAAGTTAATACTGGCGTGAAGGCAGCTGCTGAAGGAAGTGAACTTTTTATGATTCTTCGCAATCTCTGTTAATCTATTGGCTTCATTTTAAAAGGACTCCCAGTGGCAATACTGGCTTAACAGAAATAAAAATTAAATAGCTCCTACATGTTTGCTAGTCCTCCGTGTTCCGATTCAGAATACTGACCTGGCAGCAATGCTTACTATTGATTCTACAAAGCCCTCCACTCTGAAGCAGTGATTGACATGTACATGGAAGTAGGTACTGGAGTGATTGCTTAGGGGTAAACAACAGCTTGAACCCCATGCACAGGTAATCGAGGGGGAATATATATTTTATCTTCTAATGTTTCAAGGTCTGCAGTCCAGTGCATCGTGCAATTCTGTAGGTCATTTTTTATCTTAGATTAAGAATTGACATGGTGGTAAAACTCACAAAGATGGCCAGACACCGGGATGCACAAAAAGCCTACATTATTAATCACCTGGAATTCAATATCTAGCTAAAAGTCATATATGGGATAATGTTTATGTATACATTACATATTATAAATTTTTTTTTTTTTCATTTATTTATTTTATAAGCCAAACTGGCACAAGCAGAGCATACAGTGTAAATAAATAAAACGTCAGTGGTGTTCTGTGCAAGAGCTACATGGGAGACATATGAAAGGAATACACTCACACAGGAATATCTATGCAGATACTGAATCACACAAGAGCAAGAAGGGAGCAACATGTGATGATGTCACACATATGGGGGGTGATGTCACCTAGAGGTGCTGCATAAGTGTGTTTAATAACCGCCTCGGCGGCATTCCCTATCCTAGCTTATTCAATAAACCAGCAATAATTGTATAAAATTATTTGGGTGAGTCTGCACCCCTTTTCGGGAAGGACTGCTTCATTTAGGGGGCAACAGTGACATAATTTTGCACATTTTTACCCTTCTCACCCCATACGTTGAGGGTATGTATTGCAAATATAATAAATAAAATTTAAAAAAAAAACAAGCCTGCATGATCATACACACAATTATGTGGATGCAAATGGAAGTAAAAACAATTTAAAGAAATTTATGGTAGACAAGAAATACCGCATAATCCTATTCTTCCCATGAGCTGCCCGAATAAATACTCAATATCAGCTTCCAATGGTTTATGGCAATGGCTGCTTATGATGTAATCCATAGGTTTATGAACTGCAGTTCCCTAAAGGACAGATGAGGAGCTTGGGAAATGTAGCTCACAAACTGTTACAGTGCCGAGATTAGTATTAACTGGTTTACTCTGCTGTAGCTGTACATAGAGACTCTCTCTAAACACACAGAAGCAACTGTCATCTGAAGCAGATTTACCTTGTTTGGACATACGACATGTGGTTCTACTTACTCAGAAAGAAGATTCAGGAAAAATGTATCATCTTCTATGGATTCATCTAGGATTATCTTCACATTTCTCTGTAGCACTGATTCATCCATCAAGATAAAAGAAGGCTGATTAATACACGTATCAACTTAGCTTTAATTCAATTAGCAAGTCTTACAAAAGCATGGATCAGTTACGAATGTACCTTCAGCAGATATGGGCGCTTCCAGGACAGCAGCAACCGAATCGTATTTCTCCAGTAAAGTGATACTTTGTTCCTGCGTAAACCCCCGTTCCTTAAAAATTAAAACAATGAAAGTCTGACCAGTTCCCCCACTCAGAGAATTCTGTACACAAATACATTTCCTAGAATTCCCTACACCCCAGTGGCAATTGGTGATGTTTTAAGGTGGTGGGAGATCGTCAGACTCCACTCATAGAATGTAACTCCATCCTTTCTCTCTACCACCTCATGAAATATTGGACTCATATTATATGTCAAGTCAAAATAGCTGTTAAAGTAATAAAACGAAACAAAAAAATAAATAAATGATTTGCCTAATCCTTTGCGTGCCAGCCATATGACCAGCACATTGAAGACACAGTTTCATCAGCACAATATGGTGTTTTTAACCCCTTAAGGACACATGACATGTGTGACATGTCATGATTCCCTTTTTATTCCAGACATTTGGTCATTAAGGGGTTAAAGGGACCTATTTGGGAGAGGGACACCATAGCATTAAGAATACAGATTTGTATTCCTAACACTCTAGAGTTCGTTTAGGTTTTTCACTGGGAATAGATACAGGTAGAGAACGGATCAGCGCTGCGTGATATAGTCAAGTAGAGAGCTGCAACCTATAAATATGAGGTTCCCTCTAAAGTCCTCAAAAAGGAAATGGCAAAAACAAGAATAATAGGTTGCGCTACATAAATAACAAATGGAAAGGGATAAATATGTCTAATACTTTAAAACATAAATAAAGAGAAATATATATAAAAAGGATTTAATAAATATATAAAGGATATATATAAAAAGAATAATAGTCCAAATTTTGTTATATACTATTGATAAGTTCAAATGAGTGGGTAGTAGTAACAGTACTTGGTATATTCCTCTTTCAGGTTCCGATAAGTCTTTGGGGATAGAGAGTCCAATAAGAGACTGGATCTTCTAGTCTTTAGAAGAGTCTTGATTCGAAGGTGAACATGGAAAATATAAACCACAAAGACGATCCAATAGTGTAGACTGTCTGTTGTAAAAAATAATAATAATAGATAGGTAATACACTCACCTATTTTAGAGCATAGACTCGCTCTAGTGTGTTGGGCGTTCAGTGGCGTTTATCCCCCACTGGATTATTTTATATATTGTATTATAAACATTATGTATTCTGTATTTTTATGTTTTTATGATTTTGCTTTTTACACATTGTATTGATGACGACATTTTGGCGCCAAAATTTGAATAAGCATGTTTTATCAAAGGTTATATAAGTATCTATGTACCAGGCTGATTTTTAATATTGCCAGTTGATAAAGCCCTGTGTGGCGAAACGCGTTTTGGCTATTTTTATATACTTTTTATTGTACTAATAAAGGAATAGTGGCTTTTTTATAGCAATCTTGCCATATACCTTTTTATTTTATTTTTTAAAATCTCCTGTCACCTGGTCATTTACTAACTTGGAGTCTACTCACGACCAAGAATCCTTGGTGGGGATTGTACCACCTATGCGAATATACTGAGCAGTCTATCCTGCTCATTTAAATGTGAGTATTTTTATTCTTTTATTTTATCTTTTTTCATTTATATTCAGTGAGCACTATATTTTGCTTTTATCTCCTTTCTACAACCGAGGAATCACCTTCACCTATATCCTACCAGTGGGGGATAAACGCCACTGAACGCCCAACACACTAGAGCGAGTCTATGCTCTAAAATAGGTGAGTGTATTACCTATCTATTATTATTATTTTTTACAACAGACAGTCTACACTATTGGATCGTCTTTGTGGTTTATATTTTCCATGTTCACCTTCGAATCAAGACTCTTCTAAAGACTAGAAGATCCAGTCTCTTATTGGACTCTCTATCCCCAAAGACTTATCGGAACCTGAAAGAGGAATATACCAAGTACTGTTACTACTACCCACTCATTTGAACTTATCAATAGTATATAACAAAATTTGGACTATTATTCTTTTTATATATATCCTTTATATATTTATTAAATCCTTTTTATATATATTTCTCTTTATTTATGTTTTAAAGTATTAGACATATTTATCCCTTTCCATTTGTTATTTATGTAGCGCAACCTATTATTCTTGTTTTTTCACTGGGAATAACTACTTATTTTTCTTAATATGATTTTTGTTAAATCAGACAAAAAACAAACATTGAGCTATTCACTCTTGCATCTTCATCCCACAGAACTCAATAAATGAAATGCATGTAATTTAATCTAAGTTTCAATCAGGGCATTCACAAAATATATTAAGGTATAGTGAGAAATAAATAACTGATATTAGGCACATGAATGAGCAAACTAAATCGCCATGCAAGCATTAAACTTACAATCTTTATATGACAAGACCAATTTTCTACCTCTGGGTTTTTCGTTAAATAGTGATTGGCCAAAATGGCATTTGGCCTCGTCCCTGTGCCGATTTTAGCCAATCCAAAATCAGCATTTTGATGATGGCGGCGCCAGCGACACCAAACCCGCGCGGCGCTGGAAATAAGGAGAGTTTTCAACTTTTATAGGAGGGATGCAAGCCACCAAAATGGTGGATTTTAGCATTATAGGGTCAGGAATACATGTTTGTGTTCCTAACCCTATAGTGATCCTTTAACTATTCAATAGTACCGTTCCCTACAAATGTAGGTGCCTCTTTAACTAGCTTGCCATTGAAGGGAAATCAGAGCCCAAGAATTTGCTACAACTAAAGTGCAACATTTTTGTTTCGTCATTTGTAAATAGTATAGAATATTTATTTTTTCCCTTATCTCTGTTACAGAAAGTGGTTGAATCCACCCTGGGATGTTTTTTTACATTCTATTCCATTACGCAGAGCTGTGTTGGTGCTGTACAATATAACTTAACTATAATTGATGAGCACTTTGCATATACCACGTGGAACGCTGTTTGTGGGTTGTAAAAATGACGCTCATCAGCTAAAAATAGATCAAGCAATAATACCATGAGTTTCATCACTTGGCAGGTGTGTATCTCTTTCAAAGCTTCATCACAGTTTTCATCCAGCTGCAGGACTATATTAAATGCTTCTTCCGCCTCCAAAAACCTCTACAAGTAGGAAAAAACAAAAACATACAGTGTGAGCATTCAGCAATCAGATTATTGGACTGCCTCCTTCAAGATAAATAACCACGGTACAAAATATAGCAATATTCTAGTACATAAAGTGTATATATATATCTATATCACAAATAACAACAGAGGTCGTTAAATGCACCCTGTTCTTTTAATTGCTCTCTGCGTTATATTTGAATACATTAGTCTAGTGGAAATATCTTTTTAGAAAAGGAAAAGATTGTTACTAAGGAATGTATTATTACAGTGCCGATACTGTAACTAAGTGTGGGCTGTGATAACGCTTATTATTATCTTGTAGCTAAGGGTTGAGAAGGATGCCAGCCTAACTCATATGTTTAATCACTAAGCTGTTCATTAAAAGCATAAGAAATAACACATTTGAGGCCAAAATAGATGGACTGAACACACCATCCTATTCAGTGTGTATTTAGAGCACAACTATTCTCGATTTAACAATAATTCATGATTTAATGAATAAACATCTGTTTCTGACCCAGAATCTCGCTGTATTTAGCCCAATCCCGGAGTAGCAGGGTGAGTGGGGACAGGTTATAAGGTACGCTCACAAAATTGTAAACATTACCGAAACAGACACCAAATGTGCTAAAGTTTGATCCACTCAACTAAGCTATAAAAACACCTATTGTAGCACTTATTTTAAAAGTCATTAATTAGTCACTGACTAATGTCAATTTTTACTGAACAAACCCTTTATTGAACACATATTGTAGCATCTAACTGTTTTGGTGGGTGATTTTGCATCTTTTTATGAGAATTCAGGAAAAAGGAAGGCTAAACGGTTTAATCTTAACACACACACTTCTCCTCTGGTGAATTACATGTAATCTAACATTCTCCTAAGTGACAGTTTATTCTGGAGGAGTAAAATGATGTTTGAAAAAAAAAAAAATTCAAGAACATGTCACTTACAGAAGCTGTGAACTACAAGCATAACATATTATTATTATTTAATTATTATATAGCACCAGCAATTTCCGTAGCGCTGTATCAGAGGGCATCCCCCCTCTGTGTGGACACTTGTACATCCGCAGCTAAACTGTTAGGCAGCACAACCCCCTCCATCAGCCATTCACATTTAACATGTCAAATGCCACTCTACTAAAATGCATGATAAAAGAAGAGTCAGCGCTATTTCACAAACGGGCAGAAACCCTAAAAAGCCCTTTTAGAATACAGGAAAAAATTATAAGAAAAAGAGATAAGGGCTGTGCCAAATACAGATGGAAGTCCAAATATATAATAAATCACAGTTTAAAAAGACCAAATGGAAGGATCTCACAGTCCAAAGATAAGTACAGTGCATTAAGCAGGAGTATCCTCGATGTCTTTATCCATGTGAATCCACTTATATGAAAGACAACCAAAGGCACCAATAGTGCAATATATACACTAATATGGGAAAGATAGTAATAAACTCACATTTATGAGAGCTATAACCAGCTCTAGCGTGATGGGCGTACAGCGGTATGATCCCAGCTTATGGGATATGCAGTAAGTTCTTTTCTGTCAGGGAAATGTTCAACACTCAGGAAAGGGGTAAATAAAAACAACTGATAGTGCTCACTGTATTAAAATATCAGAAGTAAATAAATAAGAGCTAACTGCTCTCTGATGTCAGCGTTAGTGGTATGATCCCCACCTACGATATCTTGGAGTGCAGAATATAAAAATGAAATATATAAGAGTGTATTTAAAAAGAAGATTGGCACAACAGAGTGACCAAAAATCTGTATTTAGCCCAAAAATACACAATCTTAACATTTCCGCAACGCGTTTAGCCTGTAAGGCTTCTTCAAAATGGAATAAAAAAAAAAAAAAAAAACTAAAATGCATATTGCTTAAAAGAAGTGCCATGTGAAATAATGAGGCCATGCCAATGTACAACCATACGGTCAGCAAGAACTTGTTCCCCGATTGTAGCACAGAGAGACATCAGTTCCAGTAAGAATGATACATAGTATATCTGGTACACGGTGATGTCATAACAACACATTAGAATCTACTGGGAATTAATAAGGCTGCGTAGGAGGAATGATAGTTATGTCATTACTGACTTTTATATGCCCGTCATTGAGAAGGAACTGTGTAATGGAAATCCAGAATAATGTCATCCTCTGTTGTTACAAACATGCAGCTAAACACTTTCACTCAATTTAAACTCCCAGCTATTTATGTCCCAGGCAGTAATAAAGAAAATTATAATTCATTCGCACGCAGGGAGCCTGCCCCGATTATAAAAGGTGCTCTTCCACTTAGACAAAACATAAACTGATTGTTCCGGCGTGTGAAGCAAATTAAAATTAAGGAGGTATGTCAACGTGTTGTTTGCTCTGTAGTTTTAAGCACATAAATAAAACCCAAAAGATTTAGGAGCATTCACAGCATGTTCATGTTGCCATAGCAACAAATATTGAAACTGTGATATAGAAAAGGGGCCTGATAATTAAAATGTTGTTTTGCTTCATAAAAAGCAGGAGCAGTCCATCCAACAACAGAAACAAATAATGCTGGGGAAGCCATCTAATAGGGGTTTGCTCTAAGGTAGTCTTAGACGGAATGTTGCCGGATTGGGCCGAACATAAGGTACTTTGATGAAGGTGATTAGGGATAAGGAAACTAAAGGGTGTCCAGTGTACCATGAACACAACACCATGAAGCACATTCTCATTCTATACACCTGTAATGGCTGGAGTTATCTGTGAATTACCTGGCCGGCCAAGCATTGATAGGTTAGCCATCACTATTACAGCATTCATAAACAGTTAAAATCATTTGGCTCACATTTAAACCCAGGCAATGCCAACAAAAGTCAAGCCTCTCGGGCATTCAGCTGTATTTACATTGCCAACGGAATCTCTACACAAGTTTGCTAATTTAGCTATTCACACACAGTGGAATTGCTACTGAATTATTTGAGTGAATCCCCCATCATGCAGACCAGGAGAACTGCATCCAGGAGGGTAGTGGATGCATGGAATAGCCTTCCAGCTGAAGTGGTAGAGGTTAACACAGTAAAGAAGTTTAAGCATGCGTGGGATAGGCATAAGGCTATCCTAACTATAAGATAAGGCCAGGGACTAATGAAAGTATTTCGAAAATTGGGCAGACTAGATGGGCCGAATGGTTCTTATCTGCCGTCACATTCGATGTTTCAATGTAACCCCGTGTCACACGAACGCTACACTCAACCCATCGTAAACCTATTATGATCTCCCAACCCTATATAACATACAAGTACTACTCTTACGTTAGTCTATTAGTATTGATTTAATTATTTATTACAGCAGGGAGTTCAGTTCGCTCTGCTGTTTTATTAGAGTAGCAATTTACTAGTGGCTCATTGTCGATTGAACCTGGTTGATAATAACGAACATAAAACGAAAGGATTTTTGTCTCTGTTTCTTCACTGACTTGAAGATCATTGAGGCAAATAAAAGTAACTGAATTAGCTCAAATAAAAAGGCTTTTAGTAAATAGACCCCTTTATACATATGACTGTGAAAGCAACCATTACGTAATTCTTTACTATAATTCCTCCCTGACTCTTTCTTTAGCAAATAAGGCAGATTCCAGGGTGGAATTATCATAGTCCCGTACCACAAAAAAGTGTTTATTGTTATTTATTACTTTTTGCTTTGCTAACTTTATTTTTAATAAAATTTACTTTGATTTGTTAATATACACATTTTTGTCTTGGATCATGTATTTAACAAGCGGTGCGCTGCAGTGGTCCTGGAATCTGTTATAAGAAGTGTTCAAAGGAGACTGGCTTGCATCATATGAAATGTAGTTTACGCGCATCTACAGTGCCATGGTTGAACATCACTGTAATAGCTGATGTAAGACTATATAAATTGCATCCTTCAATTGAGTGTTTGTTCAACATCCATTTGTTTTGAGAGCTTGTGTCAACAGGATAACATTTACATTGTAAAGAGTCAGAAGTGAAGGCCACTGTAATTCATACAAATATATCCTAGAAATAGTTTAAGGCAATGCAAAATGATTGCATAAAATGTGTTGCAATTCTCTTTGACATTATTTGTAGATGAACTGCAAATTCATTGGAGGTCATAGGTCTAAAACATTCTCTACACCGTGCTTAAAGGGACACTGTATAAATATAAAAAAAATATAATAAAAATAAAAAAAATCTTTCGCAGATAGACCCCCAAATGAAAACATGTATGCATTTTATTACGATTTTTTTTTATTGGGGGTATATCTAAAAACAGCTTGCAAAAGTTGTAGTTCTTTTGTTTGAAGCTGTTGCAATCCCTCCACTTCTAAGCCCGCCTAGACTTTCTGTGGCTGTCCAATCACAGACTTCCCAATGCAGCTCAATGAGAAGTCTTTGCAAGGCAGGTGCTCTGGGCAATTGTTGACTCGTGAGTTTATCTCCACTGAGCTAAACAAACTAGGAAGTGACCGTACAAGATTGTCTGATTGACAACCAGGAGGGTGTAACAAAGTTTATTTATAAAAGTGTCAAAAAGAAGACACACTCTTCACACATAAAGCATTTAGCAATGAACTAAAGAATGAGTGAAGGAGATATCAAATATGCCACACTGCTCTGCTGTTTAAAACTGGTACCTCTATGAAAATCTATGAAATTGCATTAAAATCAAGGTCTGGGTCCATGGACATGCAACCATTTTCATGTCAGCCTTAAAAGGAACTCTGGGCATTATAACTACTTCATTGCAATGGTGCAACAAGGTCTCGGATTCGTTTTAGCTTAAAGGGATAAACTGTTTATGAATTGTTTTACTCCAAATTCTGGAAGATGGCACCTGATTGCCCTGTCCTTCTACTTTCTTTCTTGGTCTGGAAGCCTAGGACTGGATGCTTCTGCTGCTCTCACTAGCTCCCAATAGAAAAAAAGATACATACTCTCAGAGAGCACTGGTATGTCGGTCTATTTTGTTTTGGGGACCTGTCTAGTTTCTTTTTCTTTTCCCCCTCCCTTTTCCCTTTTATATCACTGGTTCGGAGACACGGTTATGTCACAAGTGATCGTTGTCAATGCTTTACCACTACTCTCTGAATAGTTTACATTTCCTCTAAGTTACTGCTATCAATTGTGCACACTCTTTTTGCTGATTATGCATGCTTGTCTTCAACTTATTTCAATAATAAAAAATAAGATAAGTATCTTTTCATTCCAATTTCTGAATGGGAAGCTAGTTAAACCAATCATTAATGATTTAACCCTTGAGGTAAAGGTAAGATGGTGACAGACCTCAAAGTTGATTTGGTCCATTAACTCTAAAGGGAGGGGTGGGAGGAGCTGCCCAAATGTGTTTGTTTTTGTTTTTTTTAAATAATCCATTTTAGAAGAAACAGGAAAATATTAAGTGTTGGGTAAAAAAAAAGATAAGTGAAATCAAATATTTTTCCGGTGGAAAAATTCACAGAAATTGTCAAAATTGTACTGCTGTGCTATAAAAATGGGGTACATTAATAAAAGACACAATTGTGTGTGTAGATTTGCCAGCAATTCGGATAGCATTATGCATAGATTAAATTTCATTTCCCACAAAGTGCCGTCATGTCACATTGTTCACGTGACAAGTACACTTTCAAATAATTCTATTCCTAAAGTATAATTTATTTCACAGAGTGGATGGATGAGAAAACCCCCCTTACAATCTTACATTGCAGCCTTGCAGAGCTCTTCCTTTCCTGAAATAGCCTTTTGGGCAATCAGGAGAAAGCTGTATGGAGATTTCAGCATCCATTAGTGCCTTAGGGTAAAGCTTCAACTGCTCATAGCAATACGAACGGTTTCCAAAATACCTGCCAATAGGAGGAAAAAAAGATCACATTTTGTAACTGAAAACAATGCGGTGAAGTTCATTTTCAGCAGTAGTTCTGTCACTGGATGAAAACGCATTGCTGTGTGCACTAGATTGTTCAGATTGCTTTTACTGATCAAAGAGATTGAAACATTTGAATAAAATGTTCTTTATTACATCCAGGTGAGGTGGGCACTAAACATTTGTTCATTCCGGATTATGGAAAGTCTTCAACATCTTTACGCACTGCGTGTTCTAAAGGGTTTTAACGGAAGACCAAATGGTTCCAATAAATTGCTAGCATGTGTTATAGCAACATATTGATTTAAAAAAATATTTATGCTATAGAAAAAAAAAAAAAAGAGAGAGAAACAAGAGTGTTTAAAGAAAACGCTAGCATTAGAAATATTAAAACGTGTATATATACATGGAAGAAAAAAAAACAAAAATAAAAAAAAAAACAGTTTTTGCTTATCTTAACCCCTTAAGGACACAACTTCTGGAATAAAAGGGAATCATGACAAAATATTTCCTTCATGTGTCCTTAAGGGGTTAATTTTCCCAGGGCTCCAATCGGCCGTTACTCCTCCCCATGCGGAGATCATCAATACTGATGATTTTAGCCAATCCAGTGCTTCCTCAAAGAGAAGCAATGGGGAGTTTGTGCACGTTTACACTGCTCAGGAGCAAGAACAGGCTCCTTGCCCCCAAACCATTAAATTAAGCTGTAGTGGTTCTGATGCCTAGAGGGTCCCTTTAATTCCATGTCAGGTACCAGAGTTCCGTTACGGCTCTGATTCTCATCACATTAAAATTCCAGGTAATTTTCATTTTCAGGTTATTCTCAGGTCCATTGGACTCTTTCGTGAATAGCTCCCAACTCTCCCTAAACTTCAAGATTCCCAAAACATAGACCACATTATAAACACAGTTCCTACGCTTTGTGGACCTTATATAGGTAACTGTACATCGGCAATTTCTTTATTAAATATCATGGATCTAAGGTCATTCTATCACTACCAGAGAGAAGAGAGTCTAAATGTAGAAATATACCTGTAATCCTTAGGATCTAATCTGATGGCTTCACTAAACAATTCAATGGCTTTGGTGTAGTTTCCATCTTCCACGGAATTAATACCTTGTTCTAAACAAATAAAAAGCAGAATACATTTAACGAGAAGCAGATAGGCTAAGGAACAGACATTCTCAAAATCAAAACTTGGCAGAATGGGGGCATTATTGACTCTTCTACTCTATGTTTCCACGTGAAATGATGCCATTACCATAATCCGAATTATCACCAGTTCATGTCACAGATTCTGTGAGTGAACTCGGGTTAGGAAAAAAAAAGATTCTCAATGAATTTCATCAGCAATCAACAATAAGTAAGCCTCATATTTACATATAAAATGGTATTAATGGACATACAATAGCATGTAAATAACGCAAAACTCCCTTTGAATGAAACTATGCAGCAGCTGCAACCATGCTCAACCACAAATAGTTAGATTCTTCATAAAATATGATTATGCAGAAATCAGACCAGCATGAGATTTAGATGAGAAGAACATTTTAAGAAGAAATTCTTTTGTAGTAATTTCACTTAATGGAAGGTCCCTTAAGAGAAATAAAAATGGGTCCATTAAAAAAAAAAACTAATAGTTGATAAAAACAAAAAAAAATAGATCTGTATTCAAATGTCAGCAAAAGATATGACTCATTGGTTAATTGGACGGCATGCGGCTCAAAGGTTACCTTCATAGATATATAATGGAAATCTCAGCATTCTACTTACCAGCAAGGTGCCGTCCTCGTTGTACTGAAGAAGTTGCACAGTCACTCTGGCACAGAAGGGAAAAAAGAATATGGATACAAAACAATATAAGTTTTTAAGAAAGAACTCCGTGATACGATGTACACTTAATGTGATTACGTTTACTCAGTTCTAGATTATTTACTGGTACAAACATAACCAGGTGGAAGACCCTATCTGTGAAGACCAGGTAGTCGGTGCCTGCAGCTGTTGATGAACTACAACACCCATGACATTGCCAGCAATAGTTAGGGCACACAGACTAATGGAGGAATATGGGAACAGTAGTTCATCAACAGCTCAATGCACAAGGGTTGTTCACGTTGGGAGTAGACCCCACATGATACATCTCAGGAACTGTGATAGACAGAAGCTCCTGTTTGGTAGAAGATTTTGTAACTACACTACAAATGTTCACTTATTCTGCTCTCCACGGGCATTATCCTTTTCCCCCCATGTGTGATGTATATGATTTTGAGGGGGTCACATGATTTTCTATGAGATAAAGGTACTTATTTTGGCATGTTTCACATTTCTGGCCAGAAATTTCACCCGCCGATGATGTCCCCGAGGATTCCATCCTTCATCTATGACAGTAGCACACCCAGGCTTTCAGTCAAATATACTTAGCAAAAGCCCAGTGTGTCCAGTAACCAATGTTTGGCATTACAAGAATATACAAACTGGCCTGTGCATTAGGTGTGCCAGGTGTTCCAAAACAGGATTTCCTTTAATGGATGACCAGTTTGTCCTCCTTATACCCCATTTTGAGCTATACCTGAACTTTTGAACCATTTGTAAATAAAACAATGCAGAAAAAACAAACACACACACATTCAGTTTGACGATTTAAAATGAATGTTCGTTGTGATTGAATATTCAATAAAGATTGACCTTTCAGAAAATGAAATACGAATGCGCTGTGCACATAATGATACCTATAGTGGATAGAAATATCTGGAAAAAGGAGTGACTGAGTAACTGCACCGATGTGCATGTCACAAGCAATTTCTGCATACTGATTTGGCACAGTAACAGCACAATAATGTGAAACAATTACAGTTGAGCAAAGAACGGCTTTCCTTCCTGTATCCATGATGTAAAAGGACCATGCATGGCTGTATCTTTAAGGCCCCCAGATGTCATTTCACAACATGCCCTCATGTATTTATTACCTCCTGCATTTTCCCTTCATTCTCCTTGTTGTCATTGTGCTTTTTGTCTAGTTTGCATCTGGTCTTTGGCCTTATGTGACTGGCAGCGTTGGCAACAAATGCACTGTTTACGTCCCACTCTGGTTCCTGCCAAAACATAACAGAGCGTGTTCGAGGCACACATTTAAATCTCACAGCTTCTTTGCAGCAAGTTGGCTCCGGTTAAGCTTAAAGGGTGACAGTACTGTATTCTCTTAAAGTGGCTTTGTCACCTCGAACTTACCTTTATTCTGTGGTTTCCTCTTCTCTTCCTCTTTCAGAATCTTCATTTTTGATCTATTTCTCTTTAAAACATAGTAGGAACTACTTTGTCTTTTTTATTTTCCCTACACTTGACAATCTTGACAAAGGGTGGAACTCAAGACATGCGCCACTTCCTTTGTAAAAATAGTGGAGCTTGCCTTAAAGTCCACCCTTTGTCAAGATTGTCAAATGTAGAAAACAATCTTTTTTAAAGAGAAATAGATCCAAAATGAAGAAGGGAAGAACTGATTCCGAATGAGGAAGAGAAGAGGAAGCAGTAGGAGGAAGACAGGTTTGAGGTGACAGAGACACTTTAAGATGAGTTTACAAAAAACACATTTAAATAACTGCTAATATATTGATGTATTTTATACCTGTACTGTTCATGGAACTCTGCATTTTATATCCCATAAAGAGATGCCAACAGTTTGCCACTTATACATTTCTGGTGAGAGATCACGTTTTGTATTATACATGTAGTTTGACTCAACACTTAGCATTTTGAGGCAATCAGAATCCAGCTTGGATTTCAAATGGATCACTTTGGCAAATTACTCTGTGGCTATCTCATGTAAAATCCATTGATTAACCCCTTTTATCTACTTTTTTATTTTATGTTTTATTTACTCATCCAATCAATGCTGTCCAACAGTGTAATTGCAGACCACTGGCCAAGGAAGCCCGGGGGAAACTCTTTTTTGTGTCAGACTACTTCATAATGATTTGACTTGAACCACGGGATAGCGCCACTACCCTGCTAGCACCACAACCACTACAAAATGGTTCTAGAAGTAAAAAACATAAAAAATGGCCCTGGTCCCATTTTATGTTATTACCATAGAAGGGACTACTGTACTTTATAGAGCTTTTTTCTTATGGCTAAGAAAGCTATATATTGATTTGCTTCCAGTTCTAACAAATATTTGAATGCCACCAACAGTATAACAGAACTGCTTAAAAAGAAGGAATACCTGTACCTGGAAGGAAGGTCTGCTGTCAGTAAAGTGAGCATTTGGAAAGGTGGCAGTTAGAGGATAATCGAAAAATATAATGATTAAGTAGCGATCGCATATTACAGGACTGCAGACACTGTAATATTTCAAAATACAACTCCAGAAACGCATTGAAATGAGCAGTGTTTAGACACAAAAATGAAATAACGTTTGTATCCTTAGTAACTTAGCGATTGAACTACCTGTTCATTCTCTTCCAGGTGTTTTATCTTCTCAAGCTTTTTCCGTTCTCTCTGCCTCTGTGGGCAAAAACAAAGAGATCCTTTTGTTCAGCGTGCAGAGAGAATGATTCGGCTAACAGCAACAGATGCAATTAAACGAAAAGAAATGTGATATAAATAGACGTGTTTTTCATGAAAGCAAACAGTTACAGCTTTTCAAAACTGTTGTGATTCACAGTAAAACCCATTAATTTCCATCTAATCATATTTTAAACAGCAAGTATTTTTCAAAGTCTATTTTAGGAAACAGATGTCAGTAGGCATCGAGGGTGGGTGAGGAACGTGTACTCCAAATTTTATCCTATGTAAAACCCTGTCACAGGGATATTGTGAGAATTTCTGAGAATTCAATGTTAATTTCTAATTTAGGGCCAAAATAGTCAAACTGAAAACAGAATCGACTTGGAGATTTTTTTTCGCCTACTGTGGCCAAAATTTTGAAATTTATTTTTAATTCCCTGCAATTCCTACTTTAGTAAATAGCTATGTGATGTCTATTATACACAGGGTCTCATTCTGTTTGTGCGATATATATGAATGATTCACGCTGTGGGTCTGTGCATGAAAAATCTCCACAGTATGCTGAGTGCAAGTGCCAGAGAACGGAAAACAATCCATTAATTGTCATCTTTCAGTAGGAGAATGGACCACCAGCTGGTCAAGTTCAAAGAAAGAAATTGCTGGACTTTCTTCTACTAAAAGAAAAGTACACAGCAGCACAAACACGTCACTAAGCAAGCTGGACACTTAACATCCAATGCTCCACTGCCCAAATACAATTGTTTTTTAAAATCACTGTTTAGTCGATATACCCCAAGATAAAAAAATGCATGTTCTTAATATATTGTGAGCATACTTAAAAACAGCTTGCAAAAGATTTTTACGTTATTTTAATAATCTGTTGTGAGCATTGTGAATATATATATATATAATGAATGTGAAAATGAATGTTAAAAGCACAAATAAAAAAAATCTAAACAATTGAGCACCCGGCCAGCACCCAGCTTCAGAGGCCCCTTTTGGAGTTGACCACAGGAAGGTATACATTTGAAGAGGTTTTTGGATAGCTATGTCAGTTTTATTTTAATTTTCATTGAGAATATATATTATTTGAGATCAAATCACTATCACTTTAATTATTTAGTTTTGACGCTGCATTTTTTTAAATTTGCGTTTGTTACATTAATTTAGCATTATATATGTATATATATTTACAATTACAGATTACAGATTAGTTTTAATTAGTGTAGGACCCACCGGTATTGGGTTGTGTGGAGTGGTGGTGGGCTTAACACACTATAGCCATATGGTGGAATTGAATCCCCATATTAGTTTGCTGAGATAGATGATTTTTAAGTAGCCTTATAAAATGTAAAAATTTATTTTCATGTGTGCGCTGTTCTTTAATCTGTATTACTCTAGAGTGGACTGGCCTGGTGGAACCTCCATCCACCAGTCAACACTAAATGAGGCTGCCGGCCACGATTTAACTATTGATTCAGGACGCTGCTGCTGCCGGCCAGTCCCCCTCTGAGTGTTCCGTGCTCACCTTAGAGGCACCACGTAATGAAACCGACCAGCGGCCCATCTCTGTCTCTACTAATTCCCTCAGAGGGAAGCTGCCAGAGCGCTGCATGGCCCCGCGGCACACCAGGAAATTTCTGCTAACTTCTTCTTTAAAGTGCTTAGTCACCCTACAGCTGAGAACCGAGACACTCAAGCTGTGGCTAGTTGAAAAGTTGAGAAGCTTCAAACTGCAGGACTGGGGGTGTGACTCTGAAGACTGATCGGATTCAGATTTCAATCCGTTTTAATCTGTAATGATGGTTACTTCTGTAAACCATGTCAGCTACTTCTTGGCTCCATGTTACCACTGCAGATTAGCTATATTGCCAACTGCAAAGGTAGTAAGGAGTCTTGCAGAACCTGCTGTTTTAACCTTGTGCACACTGAGTGCTGAGAGCTAATGAAGTAGCTGGCATGTTTCATAACAGCAGCAATATTGAATAGAAAGTTAAAGTTATCATCGCAGGGACACTACTGAAGATGACATTATGAAGGAGTGCTAAGAGAGAGAGAGAGAGAGAGAGAGAGAGAGAGAGAGAGAGAGAGATATGAAGCCTTTTACAGATGTATGTATTGTGCGAGGATCTCTGTATTGCAGCTCTGTGTAATCCATCACAGTGATCCTGGATCTGTGGGATAGTTATGATATCTCCTTACTGTGCCCAGCTCTGTGTGTTATTTCTCTGTAAGTTACTCAGATCTACAAGTTGTATGGACATCTATGTAGTCTACAAAGCTCTGTGTGTGGTATAGGTATCTTTGTGTTGTGTCAAGCTTGTTTTATTGTATGAGCATATCTGTATTATAATCCGCTCTCTGTATTGTATGAGTATCTCTGTACTGTATAGGGAGCCCCCCACATTCTTAAAACGTCACCAGTCGCCATTGAGAATCCATGTTCAATCCCACACAGATTCTTGAAGACAATAATTTAGGCCTAGACTGTGAGGATCATTACCAGAAATATCCACAACTCGTGTGAAGTATCACCTAACTTGGACTTGGAAGAGCAATAATTTACTGACGTCTTGCAGAGCCTTTCAGAAGAGACAGAAGCAGATGTGTTCATCAAAGCAATGCCTAGAGAATTCCTTTGGTAACATACACGAAGAAGAAGAGGTTGCATTATATAGTGATGGTTGTAGTAAAATATTTTTTCACACATAGGCCTTGATTAAATATTTATGGATAAGCTTTTCAGATAGCATAAACGTTGAGTGTATTAATCACAACGTAACAAATTGTGCAGTAAAAATAACATTCATTGGCTATCACAGTTTTCAGGTATGGTGACTAAGGAGAATGAGTGGGTACAGAGCAGGAGGAATATTCAGGTACAAACTATCTCCCCCTATTGTGCCTTCAAGGGCACCCCCCCTTATCCCAACAAAAAACTCGCCCTGCACTGACCGTTATCCATAGCTTCCCCCCAATTATACAGAAGAAAGGCGGTTGTTAAGCAGTCCCAAGAATGTCGAATGCACTCATCCCGATTATAGGTAACCTTTACGAAAAGATCCCTAACCTGTCTGGTAACACTGTTAGATGAATTGCTAATGTGAGCAAAGTGCCCCTGACGCGCGTTTCGCACAATTTGTTACGTTGTGATTACTATACTTAGCGTTTATGCTTGTTACTTTGTATTGGATTTAACATTGTAGCAGGTGTTACTGATATTATTGTCATTATGCACTGTTGCAGACCTTATTACTGACAGGAATTTACGTAATTTATCTTTTCGATTTGTAACCGTATATGGAGAAGCTTGTCTAGTGATACCCGTGTTAACCCTGTACAACCACAGCGTGGCTAATTTTGAAATTGACCTCATATTACTGCTGATACGAAGGATAGTTTATGGTTTATGCAAAGTGCGTAGGGCATGCACAAGGGTACATAGCGATATCAATATCTCCACTCAATGTGGGCTCATCACCAGATCTTAATGGCAGCCAGATCAGCATATGATTGCTGTAACATAGCACTATTGTAGTACAGTGGTACCATGACAAATTTGCTGATATCATTGAACACTCTACTCTCTATACCACGGCTGTGAGAAAGCAGAGTGTGAGACTGTAAATTGGGATAACCTACACAAGTTCTGCATTCTGTACCTTGCAAGACTATGTATGTTATAGTCCATTTTATTATGTATTGTACCATATCACCATAGATACTGAGCTCTGACACCTTTTACCTATATTTGCAGATCCCGTATCCTTACAAGGATGCATTAAGGTGCCAATTAAGCAATATCTATCTTTACGTGTGTCGTTTTTGTCTTTGTATAGTACTGTTTTTATACTCTTTTGCCTTAGGGTTTTCTTGTTCTTTATTAATGGACTGTTTAGTCAATTTATTAAATGTTAAGTTTTAAAACACATAATCTTCATTGAACTGTATTTCACTCATATCTGTATATAGCTGCACCTTCTCTTTTTGTTGTGTATATTCTACCGGAGTTAACCCCCAATTTAGGAGGACCTGCAACTTTTGTCTCCATCTCCTCTCTTTTTTTCCTTTTCTTTGCTCTTTTGAATTAGCATCTGAAAAGTTTATTCAGAAATATAAAAAAATCGGGGCTCATACTGAGTGCGATTGGCAGACTGGACAGTTGGTGGAGCCAGACAAGTGTATATAGCTAAGTAAGAAGTACAGTTAGCCCCTGTTTTCATGAGCTTACAACTGAATCAGATATTGCTGTTCTGTTTCTAATGCCATTCTTTGCCAGAATAGTCCACTTGTATTAATTTAAATCTTAGTAAAAGTTCTTTCAGCATTCATAGTTAATAGTAACAAGCTGCTATCTGATTCTCGTACTGCATGAGATTTATAAAACAAATTATATTTGGAGCAAAGTTCTAAAAGAAGTGGCACAATCACCACGGAAACCTAAAAAAATGCTTCAATAGTTTGCCCAACATGTATATTCCTGCAAACCTTTTTTTTACATCTCCTCCTATAAAGCCAATGTGTTTTCATTGAATTTAGACAGCTCCTGCAAATTTACTCCCGACAGTTCTGCCTTAACATATAATTCTTGAAAGGACTTCATACCTTCTTTTTAGCTCGGCGCTTTTCTGCTTTTTGTCTGAATTGACTTCCTTCGGACAAATCATCATCTGAATCATATTCTTCCTCCTTGAGGTGCATAAACAAATAAAAAAGAGATACGGTTAGATAACTATAGGCTTCCATAGGGAAAGAAAGTTTTCTCAGCTTTGCAAATGCTGCAGGTCATGAAATGTCAATCATTCCTACACTGTGAAGATTATTTTACATTCCAGCTAAGCACTAAGGAAGAGGAAAAACAAGTCGAAAAAACTAAAATCTAGGATCTATTTGCATTGCATCTACTTGAATGAGAGTGATATAGTTATCTGAATTGATCGTAGAGATGTATCACTGAAAAGGTGCTAAAATGACAGTCCTCTAGTTTATAGTTTACATCTTTTTTAAATTTTTGCGTCAGAACACATTACCATACCTGAAGATTAGGGTCTTTCCTCTGCATTATCTCATTCCGACAGCCACGGATGCCTGCAGCAGTTTCAAAGTCCATTTCATTCTCTGATGTTTTTCGGTGATGCTGCAAAGGAATAAAGTTTTCTATCAGTTGCTAAAGAACTCCAAGTAGGATACGGGCAGTGAGCCCTTACAGCTGCATTGTGGATCAGCAATCTAATGAATTATAAACCACTTATCTATATCTAAAGCATCTGTTTTGATGTGCTTCAAATCAGCATGCGCACGCTGCCCTCGCCACATTCTGGCAGCATAAGCAAAAATCTATTCTGCACAAAATGTAACTATTTAAATGACACATTAGAATCGGGAACGATGTTTTTTGTGTTTTTTTCCTAACACAGATTTTTATCCTCTAGTAAATAAATAATTGTAAAAAGAAAGTGTGTTCATTATTATGTGATTCTGTTTTACCAGTCCTGACAAGTCTGATCTTTGTCTGCAAAAAAAAATAAAATATATATATATATAATATGGAAAAAGTCTGCCAGGAACACGTAATGTAGAAAACAATAGCAGCACAATTGCAAAATGATACCAGCTATGGCTACACTGAATGTCTAGCTGAACTTTGATTCCGACCTGTGTACACGTGCAGAACCTTGGTCCTGGTGTTAAAGTGACCTCATCTACAGTACAACTAGAAATAGAGAATTGGACAGACTGTTCAGAAACATTTTGACCTAAACTGGTCCAATCGCTATATTAACTAAAGGTCAAGTTTAACTGAATTTAGAACAGCCTTGCACAAGTTTGAGTAAAAAAAAAAGAGTCAATTTGGCGTTACTTATTCAGCATAGGATTCAATGACACAGCCAATGGAACTGACTATCAATAATGACACAAAGATTATAAACTCGTTGCAGTTTATTTGAGTCACTTTATTTATCAATACATCTACTAAACAGTGTGGATATTTTATTTCCTTTTGGGTTTTTACACACATTTTTTTTTTTTAATTAAAAGTTGGATTAGGACACTATATAAATTTACCCCTTTATTTTCCAACTTTGAGTGACTGCCTGACAACTCAAAATGCCATTCCAGCCATGTGACCTCCTATTGTAAAGTGCTACGTAATTTGCTGGCGCTACATAAATAATAAAATAATAATAAAATCTCAATCACATGGCCCGAGAGGGCACGTCTGAATGCAGGGGGACTGCCCTGATCTGGATCCACGCAGATTGCCGCAGTAGGTGAGCTTTTGTGTCCGGGAAGGCTCACGTTCCCAAGGCAACCCTTATGGTGTTTAAGCCTACTTTGTGCAGGGGGGCACAGTACGACCCACCGGCGTTAAGGGGTTAATGGTAAATGTAGTGTATCTTGTGGATGTTTTGTTTGTCTTTTTCCTGACACTATGTAGTCATTTTATCAAAGGACCTCTCACGTCTAGCTAACATAATATGTTGGTGCTAGAGCACAGAGCAGATTTGGTAAATGGTATTTGCTCACAATTCAAAGCATAGGACCATCTTTTAGAAATATATATTTGTTTTATATCTTAAACCACCTTTAATGTTACTTTCTTTAATATTCAAAGCAGACGTCTCTAAAAATATTTAAAAATAAATAATAATCATTTAAAAAAATAATTTAAAAAAAAACAGGCAGTGGGTGATGGTTAACTTGGACAGCAAATTGGAGAGTATAGTTTGGTCACTCCATATCAAAGTGAAGAGGTTATGGAGACAATTAAAGTTAATTATGTGTGCTAGATTTGCTGACTTGAGCACTGTTCTTTTCTGTAGACACTAGCTTCTCTGTAATATAATTATTTCCCCACGTGATAAGACATCCCAGGAATACAATAAACCCACAGAATAGGATGTGACCTTATACTGATGTTTGACACAGCAAGCTAGTAAGACAGGAAAGAACGCAAACACTGGTCTGGGAGCACAATCCAATACATTAATAAAGCATTCCTGTCCTGTGAGTCACAGCTTAGTTTACTCACTTCTTTTAAAAAGTTATTTCGCTAATGACAAATCCATCATTCGTCCAACACATCATTATTGCACCGCTCTACAGTAAATATCACACTCTCTCGGGGGGGATCGTGTTTGCTATGGTAAACGCGCAAGAAAAGGTGGTTTAAAATGCAGTTGACAGTGATGGCTGCCATCAAGAAGGCAAATATTTCTGAACTCTGTATCACAGTTCGGAAATGTCTGCCGTGCCAAAGCTAGAAACAATTTATCAAAAGGTTTTAAGCAATTTCTAATCTTTTTATGTATTTTTTTTTTTAAACATGTAAATTAAAAAGGGCCCATAAATTCTGAGTATGTAGGGACTTATGAAGAATGGGGATGGCTGAATGGTAGATCTACCACATCCTTTATGCTTTGCCAGCTGTAAAGGGACACTATGCACCTTAATCACTGCAGCTCATTGACTTGGTTATGGTGAAAACATCCTTTGAGCCGTTTGACAATAAAAGGGTCTTTCCTGGCACCTAAAGCCTAGCTCTTATGCAATGGCTCAGCTAATCCATCCAAAATTATTCAGTGGTAATGACAGGCTGTGAGCCCTGAGCTAATCACGGTCACTTAAGGTTGGTCGATGGATAAGGAGCAAGCAAAACATATGTATAATCAGAGATTCAGTAGAGGGAGAAGCTTTACAGTAGAGTGCCAGGAGAGGCCTTTTTTTTGTCACGCTGTTCAGAAACAGTTTAAAAAAAAAAGGGTTAAAGAATTCAGAACATTTTGCACTATAAGCACTACAATGATGTGTAGTGGTTATGGTACTTAAAGTGCGAAATTAAGGCTGTAAAATCATCAAGGGATTTGTACTGCTACAATTAAACATAGAAACATAGAATATGACTGCAGATAAGAACCATTCGGCCCATCTAGTCTGCCCAAAAGAGGAGTACTACCTATTGTCCATCTGCTTAAAAATATTGGGCGAAATAAGCTACAACTGGAGCAAACCTAATTTTAAGGAGTTACTTCACTAAGGATTTTTAATAATATGTTTGCCTATCCCCTGGAGTGAAGAATAAAATATAAAAATCAACAATTCTATATCCTGCAAGTGGATGTCTCCCTCTTGACTTCTTGTCAATTATTATATAAATCCTGTCCTTTGTACTTGGCATTCAGCGTAGAGAAAATATGAAACACTATAGTCACCTGAACAACTTTAGCTTAATGAAGCAGTTTTGGTGTATAGAACATGCCCCTGCAGCCTCACTGCTCAATCCTCTGCCATTTAGGAGTTAAATCCCTTTGTTTATGAACCCTAGTCACACCTCCCTGCATGTGACTTGCACAGCCTTCCATAAACACTTCCTGTAAAGAGAGCCCTATTTAGGCTTTCTTTATTGCAAGTTCTGTTTAATTAAGATTTTCTTATCCCCTGCTATGTTAATAGCTTGCTAGACCCTGCAAGAGCCTCCTGTATGTGATTAAAGTTCAATTTAGAGATTGAGATACAATTATTTAAGGTAAATTACATCTGTTTGAAAGTGAAACCAGTTTTTTTTTCATGCAAGCTCTGTCAATCTTAGCCAGGGGAGGTGTGGCTAGGGCTGCATAAACAGAAACAACGTGATTTAACTCCTAAATGACAGTGAATTGAGCAGTGAAATTGCTGGGGAATGAGCTATACACTAAAACTGCTTTATTTAGCTAAAGTAATTTAGGTGACTATAGTGTTCCTTTAAATAATGGGGAGATTCATCCAATTGTTCTGATCTAAAAAGTGGCACAAAATTTTTTTTTAAAAAGGGGTGGAGTCGCTAATGGAATGTTCATGAAGATTCCACTGGTTTCCATGGGGATGTTCCCATTTTCAGTACTTTAGCCAACTTTTTAGAACAAAACACTATGATAATTATCCCCCAATGTTTAATTACCTCTACTAATTTGCTATACCCTGGTTGTGTCTGAACAGAACTGGATTGTGATGTTATTTGCTAAATCTGTACATAAACTGAACATCACATGACAAATAGGTCAACACAGTTTATAGGCCCTTTTCAATGTTTTTTAGAACGGTGTAATTTCCAGAGAAGTGACAGTTCCCCTTTCAATTACTATATTTGGAGAAATCACAAATTGTTTTCATTGTAAAAAACAGCCTACAGTTTATTATTCTAACATTTTAAAAAAACTTAAACATGTATTCCTGACCCTATAGTGTTAAAACCATCATCTACACTCCCTGCCCCACCCTTACCCCCTAAATATATCAAAATCTTACCTTTACTACAGTCTACTGCTGCTGGCTCTGTCCCTGATCTGCCTGCTTGGCTGACATCATCCGAAGTAGTAATCTGAGCCAATCACAATGCTTTCCCATATGAAAGCTTTGGATTGGCTGAGCTTGTCAAGGAGACAGGTCAGGGGAAGAATAAGCACAAGCCAAACACAACCCTGGAAATCCGCATCTCCTCATAGAGGGGGGAGACACTGAATGGCAGTGATGCGCACTGTGCAGCACTGCCCCAGGAAGCACCTCTAGTAGCCATCTGAGTGGCTGCCAGTGGGGGTATCCCTAGGCTGTAATGTAAACACTGCATTTTCTCTGAAAACATAATGTTTACTGCAAAAAAGCCTGAAGGTAATGATTCTACTCACCAGAACAAATGACTATAGTGCCACCCCTTTAATAATAATACCAATTCCGCAGAAAAGGAGGTAAAGATACTCCAAGCACCATAAATACTCGAGTAGGCTATGCTACAAGGAAAGCCATCCTAACATTGTCTCAGTATACATTGACCTTAATTTAATATTGTTGGATATTTTTCAAAATATCACACAACAAAAGTATCTTTTATAATATTAAATAAGTTAAATAAATTATGTAAGAATATGAGATCATTTGGAAAGTGTATCCAACAATATTGAATCAAGGCCATAGTGTCTTGAAATGGCAACAATTTTCACAAATGCCGGAAGCTATAAGCCCACCCTTGAGTCAAATCTATCACAGTAGGATGATTTCATCTCCTCAGAGAGGATGCTCAGTAGGGGTTCATGGGAGTGGAAAGAACAAATTAATTACACCAGCACAACAGCAAATACATGCACTCCTTGTGTAGAAAGCAGCTCCTTGTTCAACCACACTAATGACAGTTACAGCCACACCAAAACTGTTTACAATCCTATGTGGGTGGAGATGTCGAAGCCCTAAGTAACACGTAAGACCCTCAGAGCTTTCGTTGAGGTATGTTTAGCAGTAATATGCCAGTGCTCTCTGCCTATCCTAGCCAGTCGAATTTCGATGAACAAATGCTCATCTAACCAAATGGCAGCCGTAAATGGGGTGCAGTATTGTGGAAACCAGAAAAGCGCAGTTTGTTTGTCAAATCTTTCAAAAACTGTTGACACAATTCAAAAACTATAAAGCCTTGCAAATACAGCATATTAATTGGGCCAAAATCTAGTAAATGCATTAAAGTTGTATTGGTGTCCAGAGTGTCCATTTCAAGTGCCCTTATAAGAACTATTCCCTGCTTCACCCTGCCCTTCTTTTATCTTTTTAATGTACATGTTTTTATTCACAGCTTTTCAACTATAGTATGAAGAATATTGTGTCCATTTGTTCTGTGCTAGTGTTGAATTTTTAAATGATGCCCTATAGTATTTTACAATCATGGTTTCATGTATATTTTACAATGTTCTATTTTTCATGTATATTTAAGCTATTGTGCAAGGAAAAAACATTTCCCCCCTTTTTTCTGTATCCCTTCCCCTTTTTGTTGGTTTCAACAAAAATATATTTGAAAATAAATATATAACAGTCTGCAGATAACACAATGATACGTCTATAAAGAATGTTATTGTATCGCATAAATAATATAACACTTGTTTTCACTCTATTCATTTGTAATACTTTATTGTACTTATTAAGAAAGGTGTTTATTTATTTAAAGGCTTAGTTAAGGCAATATTTGACTGTATTTTTTTAATGCAGTGTTTACATAAAACAAACTATTGCCAAAAAAAATTACATTAAAATGGAAATAATAAAAAAGGTTTTTTACATTTGTAAAGAGTTCATCAGAGGCATGGCATTTTGAACTATGGGGACTCATCTCATATTCGGGGGTCTCTCAATAATAGTTCTAAACATTACACACGTTGGTGCAATCAGTTTATACATGGCCTAGTTCACAGCTTGGTTCAAAGTTATTTATTATTTTTGATATGCTGTGTATTGTGCATGTGCAGTTCACGGATAGCCTATCTCTCTCCTATTGTGTGCACAGAGCACACACAATAGGGACAAAATTTACACTGGCATCCTGGAGGCAATGCTCTGATGAGCTGTCTTACATTCAAGACATGAGAGTATGCTTTAAGCACTATGCTATTTCAAATAATACAGTTCTCCGAAAAGTAGAGAGGCCAGTTGGATTTAAATTAAAATCATACAAAAAATATATATAATTTCTGGAGTGTGAGAGTGTGTGTGTGTGTGTGTCTATCAGTGTCTGTGTATGAGAGTGTGTGTGTGCCAGTCAATGAGTGTGCGTTAAGGTCACCGGTCCCCCTCTGATCGCATTGGGAAAGGTGTTTTTACTCACCTTTTTCACCACGCCATGTCAGTCTCGCCTCTATGGCTGAGATAATCTTGATGACCTCAGACAAGCCAGTACTTTCCTATAGGCTATTGCGCATGCACTGATCTGCACCTCCTCAGAGATGCATTGAATTAATAAATCTCTATGAGGAACATTCAGCACTTCCATGCAAAGTATGTAGACGCTGTACAAAGGTACTGCGCAGCACTGGGCTAGGAAGCGCCTGTAGTGGACGTCTAAATGACCATCACTAGAGGTGTTACTAAGTAGCAATGTAAAAAAAAGCAGTGTTTAAATTGAAAAGCCTGCAGGGACAGGCTATAGACACCAGAACCACTACATTAAGCTGTAGTGGCTCTAGCGTCTATAGTGGCCTTTTAAAATTGTATTTTCAATGAAGCTTTATTCGTTAAAAACCTGGCTCTAACTTTTTTAGCTGGCTCCAAGATTACAAGCAAATTTGTCAAGCCCTGGCTTGAAAATTCCATGAAAATAATACAGATTTCTTTAATGTGTACGCACTTCCTTAAGATGATTCTCAATAAATACAATGTTTCACTTGTAACCCTGGACATTTTATATTTTTAAATGGAAGATGTTTAATTAATTTATTTTTTTGCCAGATCACTAGCATGTGATTTCAGATGATCAGCTCAGAAATTAATTGAAAAGAAGAAATGTTTCCATACAGTAATGATGGTTCTATTTACTATATATAAAAAAAAAAAAAAAAAAGTAGATTTGCTCAGTCATATAAAGTGCCCATTAACAGCTGTATGAATGGTGGACATCCATTGATCTCAGTCATATCTCCCATGAGATACACAGCAAACCTGTTCAATGGAAACAAACCTTAAAACTTTCTAGGGATATTGCATTCCTCTGACTGTTCCCATTTTACAAGTGACACATCATGTAATACATGCCTTGAGCTGCCTTGTTGTTTTAAGAAAAGAAAAATAACTTAACATGCTTTAAAAAATTGCTTAATCTCATCGCCATCAAGTTCTACATTACCAGCACGTGGATTTAGTTATTTGTTGGTTGTACTGCTTTGCAAAACAAAAACAAACAAAAACCTTGATTTACTTTTATCTTATCCATCTATGCTGTGGGTAGAAAGTCTTGATTGATTGTGGGAATGACCCAATTCATTCACTCATTGTCATTGCTTATCATATTTTGCGCTCTACTATGTGCTATTTTAATACACACAGCTGAATATGACTTTAATTAAAAAAAATTTAAAAAAAACAAACAAAAAACATTGAATTATTGTGTGTTAAGGATGTCCAACATTTGGAGTGGGGTGGGGGAGTCGGAATTCAAGATTTTTGTTTTCCAACCAGACAAATCTGGCCTGAATTGCAAAGGTCATTATTAAAATCACAACAGCTCAATTTACTGAACAGATTCTTCCTGTACACTTTTTATTCTCGAAACTCCAAATAGTAGCAAATTGAAATCCAAATTTAAAATGTTGGAAACAGTATCAGCTATGATACAAACTCTGTTACAGTCCCAGCTTCGGTATTCTACTTCCAATTTCGTCAGTCCTCATTTCACTATGAATTGTAATTTAGTAAATAAACCCTGTTATCATGGGAAGCACTCACCTGTTAACTAATTATTCTAACCACCGTGACCATTTCTGCTGTTAGAGTGCTAGGTGTCTGCATATGCAGTATTTCTGCAGCTCACATAGAAAATCTGCACTTGCTGGGGGCTAGTTACATCCGGCACATGTGACTTAGGTAGCCTGGAGCACTATTAGGGAGTTATGGTGCCAGAAAAACAACTTTGTTTCCTGGCACTACAGCTTCATGTTATTAGTTGTTTTAGAATTTATGGAGAGGAGGACCTAAAGAATAATGCTCAATAGAGAATTATGAATTTAAAAAAAATGGCAAAAAGGGGTAGGAGTAAGTCCACTGTCTGTGCCTTCAAGTTCCATAAAACATAATTTCCCCAGTGGTTACGTATCTTACAAATCACAAATGGGATTATTTAACAATGGACACTAATGTCCAATAATGTAAACTAAAAAGGTAATTGATTTTTCTGTGCCAAAAATAGCTAGATTGGGAAATTCTCCAACTTTTTATTTTTTAAAGAAACATTGTAAATCACATAAAAACACTTCAGCTAAGATATCATATAACTCCAAAGAACCATGCAGCGAAAATAACCTGAATGTTTTCTTTGGGGCATATCTACGAATGTATCTTTTTTTACAGATTGTCCTTTTAATTCTGCACTTTCATCGATTTGATGAACAAGCCTCAAGATGTTGTAGACATTTAAACACGCAATACCAAACAACATTTATAAAAGTAAAATTTGAGAAACGTTCTTGCACCTTTGAAATAACACACAGTTTCCTTAATTGACCAGCCCTGTAACAAGGAATGAACAATCTTTGTTGCTTATATAAATAAACTGAACTAAAGAAAGCTGGTGTGAACCATCACCCCAACAGACAGTTGATACACCAGCTTATTTACTAAACTGAGAATTCACTGGGACTTTCCAATTTAAAGTGAAACTGTTCTGCTATTTTAACATATGCTCTTTAAAAATAACTTGAAATTCTATGGCTACAATGTTGATGTGCCTGACATTCATTTATCTCTTGTGAGTTGTCCTCATTATCATTGCGTGTCTCCTCTAATATATACATTAATCACACTATGTGCAGTTTGTATTTTTTATAAACACTGCAAACTACACTGCTCAAAAAAATAAAGGGAACACAAAAATAACACATTCTAGATCTGAATTAATTAAATATTCTTCTGAAATAATGTGTTCTTTACATAGTTGAATGTGCTGACAACAAAATCACACAAAAATAAAAAAAATGGAAATCAAATTTTTCAACCCATTGAGGTCTGGATTTGGAGTCACACTCAAAATTAAAGTGGAAAAACACACTACAGGCTGATCCAACTTTGATGTAATGTCCTTAAAACAAGTCAAAATGAGTCTCAGTAGTGTGTTTGGCCTCCACATGCCTGTATGACCTCCCTACAACGCCTGTGCATGCTCCTGATGAGGTGGCGGATGGTCTCCTGACAGTCTGTGGTGCAACGTGACGTTGGTGGATGGAGCGAGACATGATGTCCCAGATGTGCTCAATTGGATTCAGGTCTGGGGAACAGGCGGGCCAGTCCATAGCATCAATGCCTTCATCTTGCAGGAACTGCTGACACACTCCAGCCACATGAGGTCTAGCATTGTCTTGTATTAGAAGGAACCCAGGGCCAACCGCACCAGCATATGGTCTCACATGGGGTCTGAGGATCTCATCTCGGTGTCTAATGGCAGTCAGGCTACCTCTGGCAAGCACATGGAGGGATGTGCGGCCCCCCAAAGAAATGCCACCCCACACCATTACTGACCCACTGCCAAACCGGTCATGCTGGAGGATGTTGCAGGCAGCAGAACGTTCTCCACGGCATCTCCAGACTCTGTCACATGTGCTCAGTGTGAACCTGCTTTCATCTGTGAAGAGCACATGGCGCCAATGGCAAATGCCAGATGTCCTGCACGGTGTTGGGAGGTGTACCACCCTCATGGAGTCTGTTTCTGACCGTTTGAGCAGACACATGCACATTTATGGCCTGCTGGAGGTCATTTTGCAGGGCTCTGGCAGTGCTGCTCCTGTTCCTCCTTGCACAAAGGTGGAGGTAGCGGTCCTGCTGCTGGGTTATTGCCCTCCTATGGCCTCCTCCACATCTCCTGATATACTGGCCTGTCTCCTGGTAGCGCCTCCATGCTCTGGACACTACGGTGACAGACACAGCAAACCTTCTTGCCACAGCTCGCATTGATGTGCCATCCTGGATGAGCTGCACTAACAGAGCCACTTGTGTGGGTTGTAGACTCCGTCTCATGCTACCACTAGAGTGAAAGCACCGCCAGCATTCAAAAGTGACCAAAACATGAGCCAGGAAGCATAGGAACTGAGAAGTGGTCTGTGGTCACCATCTGCAGAACCACTCCTTTTTTAGGAGTGTCTTGCTAATTGCCTATAATTTCCACCTGTTGTCTATCCCATTTGCACAACAGCATGTGAAATTGATTGAGTGCGTGTGTGTTTGAAGGGGCAGTGTGTGTGCAAAGGGGCAGTGCGTGTGAGGGGTGGAGTGTGAGAGGGGCAGCGCGTGTGTGAGGGGCAGTGCATGTGAGAGGCGGGTAGTGCGTGTGAGGGTTGGCGTGCGTGTGAGGGGCAGTCCGTGTGTGTCAGAGGGGCAGTCCGTGTGTGTCAGAGGGGCAGTCCGTGTGTGTCAGAGGGGCAGTCCGTGTGTGTCAGAGGGGCAGTCCGTGTGTGTGTGTCAGAGGGGCAGTCCGTGTGTGTGTGTGTGTGTGTGTGTGTGTGTGAGAGAGAGGGGCAGTCCGTGTGTGTGTGTGTGTGTGAGAGAGGGGCAGTCCGTGTGTGTGAGGCCATCAAGGCCTACTGGATGTTTTCTGCATAACCCACCACCACCCATTTGAAATCCAAAAGCGCCCACTACTGGGCGAAAGGGAATATAATGGGGTGTAATGTTAAGGTACAACAATGCTACCTTTTTAATATTCAGCGCACCTAAGAAATTTGCCCATGTAAGAAGTGACTGCTCCACCAATGTCTCAATCTTACCGTTTGTCAGACATGCAGTAGCCTATAGGTAAACCCGTAAGGGACACCGTTAAATATTCTGGGTATGTGCTAGGTACACTGCGTACATGCCTATCCGACTTACTGATATCAAAATAATTCTATTCAAAACAATGTTTGTTCCATAGACAATCCTTTCAAGGTTTTCCTTGACGTGGCAGCTGGGCTTACATCTGATGGCCATTGAAGTTACTAAATAACCTCCATTTATTTAACGTCTTAAGGACCGGACTGTTTTGCCCATGTTGTACATTAAGTACCAGGGCTGTTTTAACACTTTTGTTGTGTTTGTGTTTAGCTGTAATTTTCCCCTCTCTCATTTACTGTTCCCATACATTTTATACATTGGGGGGGTTTTTTAGGACAAGAAGGGCTTTCTTTACATACCATTATTTGTATCATATCATATAATTTACTTTAAAAACAATGATAAAATATGGTGAAAAATTGAAGAAAAAACAACAAACATGTTTTTTGACTTTCCTTGAAAAATCTTTTCCTTATCTAAAAAAAGCTAATGAAAAAAAACTGCTAAACAGATTCAAAATTTTGTCCTGAGTTTAAAAATTCCCAGTTTAGTAAGCAAAGTCCATTAAATAATGTTTTACATTGCACGTCTTGTGAAAGAACAGGAACAGAAATGCATGCCATATTAATAAACTGGTTTACTAACATGGCATGCACCGCAAACAGCAAACACACAGGTAACGTGTGTTAAATAACACTTGATGCAAGAAATAAGCACACTCCTCTATACGTGAATGTCACTGGAATAAAAGAATTAACTGAGCAGTGATCCAAACCTGTTTACCGTGAATTTGTCGGCCTTTCTTCATTGCTGTGAATAAAATGTGCACTAGTATCAGAAATTAGAGGGTATTCAAGCATGTATTTGTTTATTTGGCAACATTGATCTGCAGCTGAAATACAGGATTTCTCAGAATCCTTGCATTTTTTTTTAGTTTTATCCAGCACATACCCTGGCTTTGTGTCAATGTCATAACGAAATAACGAACAGATGTGCACAAAAGAACTAGCTAAGCATTAAATAAGCCAAGTTATCAATTTAGATGCCCATTCCAATGTACGTAACAAATGTAATCTCTCTTTTTAAGACACGTGTATCTAAAAGGACACTAAAGATTCATAAGATTGTTGCAAATATGTATTTTACCTAAACATACTTGTAATGAAAGGACCATTACTTCATCTGAATGTTTACATCACAGGGTTAAATATACCACAAGTGGCCCTCTTACTGGCAGCCTCTAGAGGCGCTTCCTCCTCCAGATCCAAGTGAAACTCGGTCGTGGAATTAAATGCTTCTGGAGGACTGTGTTCATTTGCCTTTCTCCAACCCATTGGTTCTCTACAAGAAGTAATGGATTTGAAGAGATAGCAAAAGACGTCAGCACTTCTCTGAGGTGGAGAGGGTGGCTTCGGCGGAGGAGTCCCAGCACTGGAAACGAAAGTAGTCTTTATTCACTTTTTTTATGTGAGGGAGGGGAGGTGAACAGAAGGGAGCCTTTGATTCTGTAAAAAATTTTTATTTTCAGGACTATAAGTTCCCATTAACCCTTACACCTTCACCCATGGTGTGAAGAAATGGAGAGGAAGTATTCCACCACACCTTCTTTGATTAACAGGGGCTCCAGGAGAACCCCAATTCATGTTATTTAGTCATTTATATTTGTTTATTTTTACAAAGCTGCCTCTGTTGGCTTCTTGTACAGTCAGCATGCACATTTGGCAATTGTTCTTTAAGGGACACTATAGGCACCCAGACCACTTCATCTCTTTGAAGTTGTCTGGGTGCAGTGTCCCTGTCCCCTTAGCCCTGCAGCTACAAGCATTGCGGTTACAGAGAAACTGCATTTTTTTACATTGCAGGTTTAAGACAGCCTCCCAGCCAACCACAAAAGGAGATACCTGGCCTTTCACGAAGTTTGACTCCGTAAAACAACACTGAACGTCCTCAAGCTTTGCATGAGGACATCCAGTGTCTTGTAAAACCCCACAGGAAAGCATTGAGTCAATGCTTCCCGTTTGGAAGGCCTACTGCACTCATCGTGCATGCGCATGAGGTCACTTCATCGGCTGACGGTAGAGGAGCCTAACCCAGCGCCCAGGGACTTCAGTGCTGGAACCAGGTAAGTAAAGGTTTTTTTTTTTAACCCTTTACTGGTCATCGGGTAGGGGGGTGGCAGAGGGATCCTTCAGTATTAAGCATAAATCTTTATAATCCCAACACTAAAGTGTTCCTTTAATATCTGCAAAAAGACTGGTGCACTAAACTCTACAAATCTGTCTGTCGATGGCAAAATATAAGAGGCAATTTGGATTTATTCAAAGCTTATTGGTTATGATGTCAGAACCCTGTCCCTGCAGCCTTATGTTTGAAAAACGTGTTACAATTGGACTGTCTAAAGAGCTCCTAACTCCACCTTAAAACCCCTGTTAATCATAGCAAGGAATTACACAAATAAGTAAAATAGCTTCTTTAACTGTGTACTTATTTATAGAAAAGAAGTGATAAGTGGACGTACAAGAGTGCGGCCGAACAAGTGGCGCTCAAGAATGTACGATGCTAATTTTACCTGAGACCTTGTACAGCTCTATTAGTGATAACTATGAACACTGGTATGGGAAAACATTGATTTTAAATCCAGTTAAAAGCATTATGCAGCATGTACCCCCGCCAGCTGTTCAAGAATTTTCCAACACTGACTGTTCTCAAAGGTTATAAACTGTAGACAACACAATATCCATGTGGTGAAGAAGTAAAAGGGGCTATTCACGAGAATTTTTTTGGAAAACAGAAGAGGCATATATCAGGCCTTTGATACGTTTTCCAAATGACAATATTTTTGGATTCACTTTTTTTAATTTTTTTTTAAATTAAAATGTATAAAACACATATATATAAAAACATATCAACAAATCAAAAACTATCAAAATATTATAAAATTAAAATATCTTTCATAATATTAAATAATTTTAAAAGTTAAAAGATATATTTTTTAATGGGTTTGTGAACGTTTTTGTTTTTTTTAATTGATAATTTATACACTATGTCTGAAGATGGGCTTGCGTATGCCTAGGGGGCCCAGGTGGGTATGAAACCAGTTGAAATGGTTGGACTCTTTTCCAGAGGTTGGCAGCAGTGGTCTCCTGGTACAATAACCACTACAGAGCACTGTATATCTATATTCAAACAAACTTTTTTGGGGCTGAACAGTCAACTAAGTATCCTTGTACATTAATTTTCTTAGGAAGTGTCAAGTTAGAAAGAAGACATACCAAACACGAACACGTGTGCATTTACCATGTCATTTGCAATGGTTAAAATAGTGTATATATCCGACTTGGGGTATGGCTGCATACCCCAACATTAATGATACAAGATTGACAGCATGAAGTGGTTAAAGACCTTGATTTTAGGTCAGAACACCCTATCTGGGGAAAAAGATGGATTGGAAAATCTTTGCAACTAACCTGTTAAATGAACAATCCCTAACATGTCCAATAAAATTTGAAAAATAACAACTAAAAAAAAAATAAAAAAAATTATTTAAGTCATATTAACAGGAAAAAAAAAATATTAAAGGGACACAACAGTCACCAGAACAGCTACAGCTTACTGAATTTGTTCTGGTGAGTAGAATCATTCCCTTCAGGCTTTTTGCTGTAAACACTGTCTTTTCAGAGAAAATGCAGTGTTTACATTACAGCCTAGTGATAACTTCACTGGCCACGCCTTAGATGGCTGTTAGAGATCCTTCCTGTGTCATGGCTGCTTAAAATGCATCCAAACATTCAGTATCTCCTCCCTCTGCATGCAGACACTGAACTTTCCTCATAGAGATTCATTGATTCAATTCTGCTCTAGAAGGAGATGCTGATTGGCCAGGGCTGTGTTTGAATCATGCTGGCTCTGTCCCTGATCTGCCTCCTTGTCAGTCTCAGCCAATCCTATGGGGAAGCACTGTGATTGGATCAGACTACCACTTCTGATGATGTCAGCAGACAGCTTGTTTTTTTTTTAGGCAAACAGCATGCAGATCTACAGCTTCTGGCTTGAATACAGTAAGATTCTGCTATATTTATGGAGGCATGAGGGGCCATGGAGGGCTAGATGGTGGTTTTAACACTATAGGGTCAGGAATACACTTAAAGGACCACTATAGTGCCAGGAAAACATACTCGTTTTCCTGGCACTATAGTGCCCTGAGGGTGCCCCCACCCTCAGGGACCCCCTCCCGCCCGGCTCTGGAAGGGAAAGGGTTAAAAACTTACCTTTTTCCAGCGCTGGGCGGAGAGCTCTCCTCCTCCTCCTCCGCCTCCGTTACGGCTGAATGCGCACGCGCGGCAAGAGCTGCGCGCGCATTCAGCCGGTCTCATAGGAAAGCATTTACAATGCTTTCCTATGGACGCTGGCGTGCTCTCACTGTGAAAATCACAGTGAGAAGCACGCAAGCGCCTCTAGTGGCTGTCAATGAGACAGCCACTAGAGGATTAGGGGGAAGGCTTAACCCATTCATAATTATAGCAGTTTCTCTGAAACCGCTATAATTATGAAAAAATGGGTTAACCCTAGAAGGACCTGGCACCCAGACCACTTCATTAAGCTGAAGTGGTCTGGGTGCCTAGAGTGGTCCTTTAAAGGATCACTATTGGGTCAGGAACACAAACATGTATTCCTGACCCTATAGTGATCCTTTAAGTATAATTTTGTTTCCAATTTAAAAGGTATACATTAGTACAAACGATTGTTTTTCAAAAAAGGAGAGCAATAGCAATAATTTGGAAATTTGTGAGAATTGTAAAGATCTCCCTAGAAAAATATGTCAAAGAAGAATCAATTTTTATTTTTTTTATTATTTAGTCCACACATGATAATATTTGACATTCTCTATTGACTGGATTGTATAGATAACCAAAACATGAATAACTAAAGTAAGTGTTGAAAGTGTTTCCCTTCATCTAATGTATTTATTAGCCAGATGGGTATTAGCTAAACCTTACTGACGAGGCCCAAAGGAGGCTTAAACAACTGCCCGGAGTTGCTGTATTTTTCGTGCTGAGAGAACCGGCATTTCAGTTCTGGACTGGATCAGTCTAATGTGAAATGGTATAGGGTCACTCTGTAACGGCACAAGTAAGTGAGCAAAAACTATAGTGAGACCTGAGCGGGAATTTACCGAAGGGTACGCTACTGAGTTTCTCTAATTTCTTTTCTGTTCAGAGTTCTCATATTCTCTGTTTTTTGTTGTGATGTATTTATTTAGTTATTTTGCCGATTACTTTAGGTTTTGTTTTACATTAATCCGGATACAAACCATATCAAGGGCTGAATTTAGTTTTCGAAAAGAAAACTTGACTATTTAAAGGGACAGCACTGGGAGTTTTTTCGCAGTACACTTAGATAGTTTCAATATATTCAACTTGAAAACTAAACAATGTAATGAAGGTTAAGAATAGGTCTTACACGTTTCACAGACCTTCAGGTCATAGGCTTCTTAAAGTGACACTACAAGTTCCAAAACCACTCACAGATAAAAACAGAAAGAACTGCCGTGCCCTGTGCTCTCTCATCAAGTCACTATAATCTCAGTAATGAGTGCTATACCCAGTCTTCCTATGACATCACGGAGGGAAGAAATGTAATTTATTATAGGTCTTCTTTCTAATGCTATTAACTAGAGAAATGACGCACACGTTATAAAAACAGTATACATACATACATTATATACAATGAAAAACCTAATAAAAAAAACATGTTTGCAAAAAAAAAAAAAAGCCACACTTGTCAGACAAAAGATAACACTTTTTTCTAAAAATAATGTTTGTATTCCATATGAAATAAATCATGAGATGGCTGTAAATATTTAAATTTCATCCATTATGTATTTTGCTGACACAGAATAAAGCTTTAAAGTACACGTTAACGGTAAGGCGAGTTAAACACTGGAGCAGATGATGTACACCTAGAGCCACATGGATCTTTAAGCAGTAGCCAGCAATATACTTAGCTCAGCAATAACCAGACAGTTATTTTTAAGCTTCAAAAGACTAGAATATTTCTGGATTTGTGCCACGCAATTGATGGAGAGCAGATGTGGAACCTGGTATTTAAAAAAGGAACAAAATCTTAGTCAGACATGATAGATCTACGGTTCTACGCAATACATCCATATTGAAGAGATTAGGGAAAACTGACTTGTAATGCACTTAAAAAAAACAAAAAAAAACAGTATTATCAGTGGGCTAACAAAGGTTTAAGATACCAGATAATATGGGAAAGTAAATAGAATATTCTCCAATGTTACAATTAAAAAACAACTTTTATTTAGCTTTTAAGTATAAGCCAAATAAGAACACCATAAATATACAACATAGTGCAAAAGAGTGTGTATATATATATATACACACACACACACACACACACACTTACACTTACACTTACTAGCAACTTATTTAACATGATAATAGTCATCAAAAAAACATAAAAGAATGATGAAAGATTCTAAATGGTAAATCGTAAAACTAGTTGAGTGAACTTTTGGATAATACAGGTCAATCATTCCTAAAACTGGATCAAATGTTAAGAGACACATTTATTCAGAAAATATAATAAGGAACTGCACTCAATCCCATCACTTTGAGCCAGGGTGCAACCGAAGCACGTCAAAGAGACACGTTTATGACAGCTCTCATTTTCAAGCAACTGCCATCAGAAGAGTCTGTACAGAGCAGCATAAAAACTGCTAGATAAAACTGGACCGTGCAAACAGACGCGAACCAGCAGGAAAAAAAGGGTAACAATAAATGAGAACCATTCAACAGTATTAAAATGATAAATTAAACAGCTTGCTGTGCCACTCCTGGTGCGCACATTGCCTGAATTGGTCCCATATACAGGATCACAGCATTTTGAAAGAGAATGATGAGCTAAGAGATGCTAATTCCGGGTCTATACTCATGCAACTGCAAATGGATGAGATTCTTAGATTCAGGATGAGGACAATGGACCAACACTCTAATATTCGGTACACACTGCATAGGTTAGTGAGCCCAAACATCTGGTTGGTATTGTTATGGGCAAATGCAAATATTACAAGTTTTAGAATGAAATGTTGTATTTCTTAAACTGTGTACTTTGTCTTTAAGAGATATTGCAAACTGACAAGTTGTTAGAAATGGAACATATTGTTTTTCATAACTGTTTCTTTAACCCCTTAAAACCGGAGGACGTACAATTACGCCCTCTAATAGGCGGCTCTAAACGCCGCCGGGCGTAATTGTACGCCCTCCGGTTTTTGTTAACTTACCCGGTCGCCGGCGGTCCCACGCCGGCGATCGCGGTGGGGGGGACTCCCAGGGAGCCCCCCGCGGCACATCCGTCCTCGTTGAAGCCCCCCGGCCATGTGAGAGTGGGGTCCTAGCGAGGACCCCACAATCACATGGCCGGGGATAGCTGGCTTCTGTATTGCCGGCAGGGGGGCTGCCTGTAATGACAGGTGGTCCCCCTGCTGGCTGAAAATAAAATAAAAATAAGTTAATGGTGTAAAAAAAAATAATTATATATACTTAGATCATATGTATATATTATATATATATATATGATCTAAGTATATATATACACATATACATACACACACATACACCGTCTAGGTGTATTTTACTATTAATATATATATAATTATATATATATATTAATATCAAATTACACATAGACTGATACTGATTAAATATATATATAATTATTGTTATATATATATTTATATATAATATAAAAAAAATAAAAATGTAAATACGTTAAAAAATAAAATTAAAAAAATAATTAAAAATAATTAAAAAATATATAGATGTGTGTTATTTCGTTCTAACTGTTTTGTGAAATTAATATATATATATATATATATATATCAAAATACACGTAGAACGAAATAATATATATATCTATATACATAAATATATACGTATATATCACTATATATATATACCTATATATAAATAAAAATATTTAAAAAAAATTATATAGATATATACATGTATATACACATACGTATATATATACATATATTAATTCTACATGTATATTTATGTAATATTTTTACATAATTAGGTATCTTAATTAATTACAATTAGCAGGACCTGCCTGACAACCCATGCCGAAAGTAAAGGGAATTTAATTTGCTAGCACTATATTTAACCCTATAACTTTCCAAGACACCATAAAACCTGTACATGGGGGGTACTGTTCTACTCGGGAGACTTCGCTGAACACAAATATTAGTGTTTCAAAACAGTAAAATGTATTACAACGATGATATCGCCAGTAAAAGTGACGTTTTTTGCATTTTTCACGCACAAACAGCATTACACGGACAATATTATTGCTGTGATACTTTTTACTGTTTTGAAACACAAATATTTGTGTTCAGCGAAGTCTCCCGAGTACAACAGTACCCCTCATGTACAGGTTTTATGGTGTTTTCAAAAGTTACAGCGTCAAATATAAGGCTTGCGTTTCATTTTTTTCACATTAAAATTCGCCAGATTGGTTACGTTGCCTTTGAGACCCTATGGTAGCCCAAGAATGAAAATTACCCCTATGATGGCATACCATTTGCAATAGTAGACAACCCAAGGTATTGCAAACGGGGTATGTCCAGTCTTTTTTAGTAGCCACTTAGTCACAAACACTGGCCAAAATTGGCGTTTTTTGCATTTTTCACACACAAACAAATACTAACGCTAACTTTGGCCAGTGTTTGTGACCAAATGGCTACTAAAAAAGACTGGACATACCCCATTTGCAATACCTTGGGTTGTCTACTATTGCAAATGGTATGCCATTATGGGTGTAAATTTCATTCCCGGGCTACTATACAGTCTCAAAGGCAACGTAACCAATCTGGCGAATTTCAATTTCAAATGTAACGTGCTATATTTGACCCTGTAACTTCCCAAAACGCCATAAAACCTGTACATAGGGGGTACTGTCTTACACGTGAGACTTTACTAAATACAAATATGTGTATTTTATTGCAGTAAAATCAAACAGTATTATGACACTGACCTTTAAAATGCAATTTAGAACTAAAAAAATCAAAAAAATCGTATTTTCTCCCATTTTTTCATATTAAATTATGTTTCATAGCTAAATATTAGATATTAAATGAAAGCCCTGTTTCCCCTGAATAAAATGATATATAATAAGGGTGGGTGCATTTACTATGAAAGAGGTGTATTACGGTTGGACAGACATGTAGCGCAAATGCCAGGTTTTGTTTACATTTTGTTTTGTTCACAATGTGTACATTTGGCTCCGTCCTTAAGGGGTTAAGCAATAACCTCAGTGCATAATATGTTTGCACCATTTTGTCCCAGACGAATTACAATAACAATAATGCATAAACAAGCTTCAAGGCTACGCTACGACTCTTGCAGTACACAATATACTGTGGTAACCCCAAGTTAATGGAACTTCCCCAAATCCGTGAATCTCTACTTACGACTTAGTATAAACAACAGATAACCTATTCAGACTTTAAGATGCCATATTGAACTAAGTCAAGAAAATTTCCATGACGTTTGCACCCTTTAGTTATGGCCTTGTATGTTTGCCAAATTAAGGGAGGTCCTAAAATGAATAAAGTAAATGAAATACGGCAACCCTAAAATGGAGACACCTTAGGTATAAATAGGTGTACTTTTAAATGTTAAGACACAGAGGAGAGACTTGGAGACAGACGCTGCTCCATCTTAAAATGACAGAGAGGCTGACATGATGACATGTTCAGAAGGGTATGCTAAACTATTAATGATATTTGCAAGCATGTAATTTAATCTTATAAACTCTGCTATAATGGATTTTATATTTATATTTTTATATAATAAATATCCAAAAAGACAAAACTATTGCTTCCAAGACAATCCTTATTTTATATTGTATTCTCAATTATTTATATATGTTAAATAGAGGATCTCTTACTAACTATATAAAATTATGGCTAAGATATCTGTATGGTTAGCCCTACTAAGTTCTATGCTTTAAGACATTATAGTGGTAAATAAGGGAACCACATGCGGTTACAGTATTATATTACCAATAAGACTGTTGGATTTTCTGTCACTTTCTCCTCTATAACTACTCGCTTCTCAAGGTTTACAAAGATATCCCTAAATATATCCAACCCGAATTCATCAGAATACAGCATCTTCCTGTGCAATACCTCTAGTAACTGCAAATGTATACAGGTTATCATCCACAAATGGAGGTACATCAAGAGGACTATGAAAACACATCACACCCTGAATTGAGTCGCTTCCACAAGAGACAGGTAGCGATATCCAAAGCTGCTAATGTAAGTGGGTGCTCAGAGTCCGGTCGGCCCAATGTTGTCTATGATGTCAGAGTCCAATCGACCCCCTGCATACCACTTGTGATATGTGTGCATTTAAACACTTACTCCAAGTACCATGACAACCAAAGTGATTTGACGTGGTCATAGTGCCTGGAGTCTGTATGAGCAGCATTTAAACTACAAAACACTGCACATACAGGGTTTCCAGCTCCGCAAACATCATTGGGGCTTCTTTACATAACCCAGAACTAGAATATCGGGCTGGCTAATTTCAATTCTGTGCAACTGTAATTGCACAGAATTGCTTTCATTGGCCGAGGAGTCAGCTGACGGTCTTAGCCAGTAATTGGCAATGGCTGTGAACTCTCCGACTCTGTAGAAGCCAGAAGGACGCCACTGGACAACCAAGGAGCATCGAAACCCAGCGGGGACCCACATAAGCTTGCTAAATGGTTTGTCCTCATAATGAATTTCAGCAACCAGACGCAAATCAGATTAGCTATAAATGTTTCAGTACAATGGAGAATTTAAATGTTAAAGCATACTTTTAACGAAAGAGATATATGGTTTTTATACATTTAGCGGTTCTTGAGAGAAGTTCTTGGACAATCACCAGGAACATTTTATTTGCTTCCCCAGTGATTGCTCCATTTAAAAACTCCATAATTGCTTTTTGAACATAACCTACATAGAATTATACATCTATACTTGTGCTAATGGCTACTCACAGTATACACAATAGTTTGTAACACTTTAAAAGTCAATGTTCAATAGTTTTCTTGGGATAGATTTCTCGATGTGCCTGTGTTTAGAATATTTAAATCTGCAGCTGTCACGATCACTTGCTAAACTACAGAGCTCATCAAGACAGAAGTTAAATTCCAGCTTATCAAATGCCTTCTACAAAGGGTGATGGTTGACTGACTTTGCAACATGTTAATACACTGTAGCATAAATAAATATATACACATCTTATCAGTAACACACCTTGGTCCAGTACCCTGAAGGGTTTTCACGCCCTTCCCTTGGGTTCTTCTGTGATGTATCTATTCACAATGATATTCTCATTTTGAAGCATCTACTTAGAATACACATTGCTGCAGTTGAAATACTCTTGCTGTTAACATTCTGGGAACACATATGCATTTATTCTCGAAATTAGGAATTTAAAAAAAAAAAAAAAATGACCAGCAAATAGCACATTTTTAGAGGTAAAGACACACATTTAAAAAAACTTCCTCAGTTTTACGATTTTTCCAGCTCGGACTACTTTAGCGTAAACATTAGATTTGTCAGTACATTACATAAAATAACTAGCTTAGCGAATGATCCCCATGCCTTAGGATTATTTTATTGGCAAAAAAAACTCACTATATCCATCTAATAACAGAATAAAGCATTTAAAGCTGTCCTGAGTATATTCAGTATATTCCCACTTGAACAATCCTTGTATGAGTCTATATAAGCCAAAACGATATTGCAAACCATAAATATCGAGTAGGAAATTTCTCTGAGGACATAAGGCAACAGAAAGCACAAGCCTTTTAATATAATGTTTAATTAAATCACTAAATTGTAGAGAAAGGGTAAACAAAAAAAAGTCCAAGTGTTATTCTCTGTGTACACTACTTCAGAAACAAAATGCTAACAGAGTACACTAATCTAAAACCAACAAAAATCCACCTCTAATAAGAGAGGACTCCAAGTAAGCCCCTCTAAGGTTTGTGTTGAGAATCAAGTTGTTAGTAAAGGGTTAATTGTGAAAGGCATGGCAGTAGGAGGGAGTTGCTAGCCCAGTTTGCAATTAGCAAAGAATATCATGCAATTGGCAACCGCTTTGTAAATACAGATATTCAAGCTGTGAATTTCTCCACCCCGTCACAACCACAATCATACATCCTACTGCCCAGGGTTTTTCAACTATCCCCATAAAGTGCAGATTTAAGTCTTTCACAATTAGTTTTTTTTCTAGAATATTAATTTGTCAAATTCTAGACAATTCACAATTGAGTGAATAACCATGTTTAGAATAAACGTTGAAAGAATTACAATTTAGAGTTGGTTACGGTGACAGAATGTTAGTAAAAGTTTTACGACCCCAAAGTTTCTATGAGTGAAACCATTTTTGGTTCATTGACCTGTATTTGCAGGCTTATTCAATAAACCGTAAGTTGTGGTAGGTTGATAAACTTTTTACACCAATATATCCAATTGGAAAAAGTAACTCCATCCAACCTATAACCTATTTATTTTTCTAAATATGCAATTGTGGCAAAGATTTCACAGTTGTTGATGACACGGCTTAGAACACAGAAAACCATGATTTGTAAATTATACCACTGAATAAAACATTAAAAATCACCTTTAGCTTGCATTAACCATTTTGCCATGTTATTCTCAACTCTCTATTAAAACACATATTAAAGATTTATGACATCACAACCAGCTTAGACCAGGCACAGCAAGGTCACACATTCCAGGAGACAGAAACATTGGGCTCATTTTCAAAATTCAAAAAAAGGACTTGGAAACCAGGGAGCTCATACCATTTTACTGTGAAGAACAAATTAATTTGAAGGTCAAAGTTAAAAACCGAAAATGGGGTAAAGTTAAAGTCCCAACTCACCCCTTAAGGACTCAGGATGCCAGGCAAGGAACTCTAAATCCTTATGAAGTAATGCAAAGAAAAAACAAAATAAATATTTAATGTCAGAAAAAGCAAGCGCTTTGAACCCAAAAGGAAAGAAACAGGGGTAAACAAAAGCCAGAAAAAAGTCTTCTTAAATTTTCAGTTTAAAACTTGTTGCTACTTTTTAACAGCTAGTCTCTTTACACTAGAGCCAATACATTAAAGTGGATCTGTCACTAAAAACACACTTCACCTATTCTACTTCTATATTGGTTACAGAGTCTGAATCTCTTTTTATTTTATCCTAAGAGCTCTAGTTTTCATAACACACGTAAGGAAAAGTAGGGACTTGTCTTTGCGTATAGCAGTCAAGTTGACAAAAGTTGACAATGGGCGGGCCTTAAAGCAAAGTTCTGTTTCAGATACCAATCAAATTTCCCCACAATCCATCAGTACAATCATCCCACAAAAGGGCCAACAGCTGACGTCAAGGAAGAAAATATACTAAATAAAAATAAAGGCAAGTGACAATGGGAAGGGGTATACTCCTTAAGATACAGGAAGCTTAAGGTAAGGAAAAGAAAACAACAATAAAAAAGGGATAAATCCACTTCAAGTTGTAGTGTTTCTGGTGCTTAGAGTGTATCCTTTTAAAGAAAAGGCCAGACATGATAGAAAACATAACATTTTTATAGCTTTAAATAAAGTGCATGTATTGTTTAAATCAAAACTTTACATAGTAGAAATTAACTTTGAAAAAATACATAGAAATATACATACCTGACACAGCACAAAATGAGTTTAAAGGAACACTATAACTTAAGGAATACAAACCTTTTTATATAGGTCCCTCATCCACCTGTGTATCATAATAATGAATAAAATAAATGATTTACTTACCTTATTCCAGTGCCAAGGCTCTCTCAGGACTGCCTGCTTCGCTGCCTCACGTAGCGTCATGGAGAAGGCAGGGCCTCCTCTGCAATGGTCCAATTCAATGCTTCTTGTAGAGGAGCATTTGAGGATGTAATAAGTGTCACATGCTCACCCAAGCTTACCCATAGGAAATAGCATAGCATTGTAATCAGTGCTTTCCTACGGACTTCGAGTGTATCAAGTGATAAAGTTTTACTTACCCAGTCAGAACAGCTGAACAGTCTCTAGTAGCTATCAGCATGACAGTCACTAAAAGTGAATTTAACCTTAGTTTCTTAAAAAATTTATTACAGTGCAGGGTTAAACTGACAGGGCCACTGCACCCAGACCTCTACACTGTTATGAAGTGGTCTGGGTGACTATGATATCCCTTTAAAAAGGGACACTATTGGCACCAAGACCACTTCAGCTCATCAAAGTGGTCTGGGTGCAGTGCCCCTGTCAGTTTAAGTCTGCAATTATTGCACTTATTGATGAACTGCAATAATTAAATTGCAGGGTTAACGCCACCTCAGGACAGCCACTGGATGCCTTTGTGGGTCATTAGGCAAGTTTTGGGTACCTAACTGATGCTGAACATCCTCACGCTCGGCATGAGGACATTCAGAGTCAGTTAAAACCCCTTAGGAAAGCACTGACTCAATGCTTTCCTACGGGGTGGTACTTAATGCAATCAGTTTGATTGCTCAGAATTAGCCTTTTTTCTTTTTTTTCCAGCAAGGTGCTTAGGTGACAACTTTCACAACATGTGTTTCTGTGCTTCATCAGCAATCAGCTGGCCCACATGTTGTCGCTATCGATGAGAGCAGCCACTACTAGCTACTACCTGTTCTTAATATTAACAGCTATTTAGGATTTTTTCCTTCAGTTACGCCTTCAGAAAGCGAAACGCGTATACAGCAAAATTCAGGTCTTAATATTGACTTGGCCAGTCAAGAATATTAGAATAGTGAACAGTCACCTGGGCGTTCTAGGTTGTTGTTTGACAGTGCTTTACATAGAGTGATACATTCTCAAAGACTACGTACTATGGTACATTTTCTTTCTATGATATTCGTTGGCACTTCTATATCTATATCCTGGACATTGTTCAATTGTCTTCTAGAGTGGTCGATAGGCTAACAGGTTGTCGACTCACAGTGGACTTGTCAATACATCTTAGCTTCATAATCTACTGCTTTATTTCAAAATTAGTTATTACTTCAATCAAGTTATGTATTAATTGGTTTGGTTTCTTTGAGTGCAGCCTTATGATAATCTACTTCACTGGAGTTGAAAACTCTTGGCATGTTATGTTGACACACAACAGCAGCAGACTCCTAAATACCACACCTAGAACATTGAATTGCCAATTTGTATGATTGAATTAGTCAAGCTGTAGGTCTTGTCAAAACACAATCAGCCAATTGTCATGGGCTCCTAAAACACCGAAAGGCTTTATATAAAAAAAAAAAATCTGTACTGCAACACTATGTGTGGTTTATGGATGTAAATGTCCATGTAATACATGTGACTTCACGCACTTCCGAATTTTAGTTATCAATTAATTTGAATTCCATTGTGCTGGATGACTGAGCCAGAAAATAAGAATTTAATCACTATCTAAATATTTAATACATGTACACTTCAACCAATTCTAAAAACAAAAAAAAAACAGAAAAAAAAACATTGAATTGCTCACATAACACACATTCAAATTATAAGCACGTTGTTACGTACATTTCCTGTCAATTTCCTGTCTCTACACCACCACAAATTTAAATCGCAATCCAACTTGCCATTCTAGAACTGCTGTCAAGCAAAGCATTTTAGCAAACAATGAATTGATCTTCAGACGCAGGGAGAGCAAAATAGCCAAGATGAAATGGGTTGTCGATCAAAGAGGGTAACTGTGAGATTGAGAAGAGAGGTCTGTATGTTGCTATAAAGAGACCAATTCCAGCAACAGTTAAGACAGGAACAGAGAATTTAGTGTGACTCGTTCAAGGCGATAGAAACAATGAAAAATATAACTCACCAAGACAAATACTTAGGATCCTACGCCCCTCCATCTCTTAGTCATTAAAGGGATATTTAGGCTACTGATCTGGAACTTACTCAGTGCTCTATATTATAAATCTCTATACTGAGTTTTTGCTCATGGTTTAATTAAGGCGTGAGCACAATAAAGTTTTGCAAGGGCATGATCTACTTAATTGTGCACATGATAACTATATCCTGAACAGCAGGGCTGATGTTTCCAATTAGCTTCTACCCCCCCTGCTGCCTTGGCTGGCTCCAGTGAGGTGTATCCCTTCCCCCGCGCTCGGCAGTTTTCAGAACCCCTTTCTCTCCTGTGATGTAGAGCTACCAGCACCTCTTTTAGAAACTGCAGTGTTAAAGGGACACTCCACTGACCAAATACAACATGAATAAGTCACTGTTTAGTAGATATACCCCAAATTAAAACGTGCACATCTTTAATAATGCATATTTTTCATTGGTGGGTTTATCTAAAAACATTTAGCAAAACCTACAGTTCTTATCTGCAGCCTTTGCAAACCCTCCCCTTCTAACCCCGCCCAGACTTTCTGTGGCTGTCCAATCACAGACTACGTAATGCAGCTCTATTAGAAATCTTTACAAGGCAGGTGTTTTGGACAATTGTTGCCTCTTGGGTTTAGCTCAATTGAGCTAACCAAACCAGGAAGTATCAGGACTTGTCTGCTTGAAAGCCAAAGGGGTGTAACCATGTTAATTTATAAAAGTTTCTATTAAAATCTACACTTTTTTTCAAAATGAAAATAATAGTTCACACTCTTCACACGTTTTCAGTAATGGTCTGAAATGACCATTGAAGCACACCTCTAGTGGCTGTAAACCTATTCCTATTGAGAAGTTTGGATGCACGCTTGGCACTCGACGCGTATTGGTATCCGTTCCTCAATGCTCCTCTATGAATAGTATTGGATTGGACTTTTGCCAGAGGAGACCATGCCTACTCAATTACATCACAGGATGCAAAGAGCTGAGCAGCGCCAAGTGAGTCTCAGCACTGGGAATAAAGTAAAAAGGTTTTATTTTGAACATTTTTAGTGCAGATGGTGGAGGGTTAGGGGGGACCTGAATACAGCTAGAGATAGGGGCACTATAGTTTTGGGAATACAGGTAACGCTCTGTTCCTTTAAAGATCTAGCAAACGGCATTCAGACAAGGCAACGCCATGGGAAAATATTGCAAATAAGGAGAAGAAATAGAAACATTGTTTCAGGCTATTGTTTGCTCTCTATATTCTCTCAGTGCAAAGCTTATAACAATGATTGGCAGGGGTCACCCAGTAGCATGATACATTTCATTTTATTTCTCAACCCTCACAAATACATATTTGTTAAAATATTGGGATACGCGAACAATCCTGGCGAGTGGCCAAGGCTTGCTTCACTCAAGTACCACAAATTGGCAAACACTCCCTTATTGCATATCTGCATCAATGTTTTCCTAACATCTGTTTTATGTAATCCCTAGCACAATTGCTTGTGTAAGTGCAGAAAACAACTTGAATTATCTGCAGACCTACTTATCAGGTGAGCATAGAAACTGGGGTATATCCACATAAGAATAAAATGGTTGGTGTCTCTCAGTGTACAGGAAATTTCATCCTACGACTTCATTTTGCTGATTATCTAATCTTCTAATAATTTCAGCAGCTCTAATAATCTGGATCCCAGGACATATTAGGAAAACTAGTTACATTATAAATGTCCTGGCTAATAACTTTCATATTATTATTATTTTTATTAAAGAAGCAAAAGTTAAATACAAAAGTGCTGTGTTTCCTTTTTAAAGGGAAAAACGTAAAAACCATCTTAATTAAGTTATTTTGATGGAAGAGAGTAGGGATAGACCGATTATCGGTTAGCCGATATTCTGGATTTTGGCAAATCTCTGTATCGGCCACTATTGATACCGATATTGCTGATAATGTGATAGGCAGCAGTGGCCCAGAGCACACAGGGCTGTCGCATCCATAAGGTGGCAAAGGTGGGCATCTTAGGTAGCAGCGGCTCTGGGGGGCGCAAGAATTGAGTGACCGTCAGGAAGGAAGCACATAGCGCTCCCCTCCACCAGTCACTCAAAGTAGTGTGGCTGAGCGGAGCAGAGCTGACCGCAGTACAGGAGCTTCAGTGCAAAGCCGGACTGCCAGGAAGTGCTCACTGAGAGAGCATTTCCTGTCAGACTGGCTGGGTACAGGAAACTTAAGCTCCTGTAGGGTGCCCGAGCGCAGCAGACCGCGGTTCCAGAGAGATAATGAGGCACACCAGGGAGGGAAGAGGACCATACTAAAGGACAGGGAGGGAGAAAGGGAAGGAGAGAGGTACACTAAGGGACAGGGAAGGGAGGGGAGAGGTACACTAAGGGACAGGGAATGGAGGGGAGAGGTACCCTAAGGGACAGGGGATGGAGGGGACAGGTACCCTAAGGGATAGGGAATGGAGGGGACAGGTACCCTAAGGGATAGGGAATGGAGGGCAGAGGTACACTAAGGGACAGGGAATGGAGGGCAGAGGTACACTAAGGGACAGTGAATGGAGGGCAGAGGTACACTAAGGGACAGGGAATGGAGGGCAGAGGTACACTAAGGAACAGGGAATGGAGATGAGAGGTACACTAAGGGACAGGGAATGGAGGGCAGAGGTACACTAAGGGACAGGGAAGGGAAGGGAAGGGAGGGGAGGGGTGGGGGGAGGTACACTAAGGCAGTGTTTCCCATCCCAGTCCTCAAGGCACACCTACCAGTCCAGGATTTAGGGATTACCCAGTTGTGTCTAAGGTGTTTTTTTTCTTCTTTGTAAAAACACCTTAGACACAACTGGGTAATCCCTAAATCCTGGACTGGTAGGTGTGCCTTGAGGACTGGGTTGGGAAACACTGCACTAAGGGACAGGGAAAGGAGGGGAGAGGTACCCTAAGGGACAGGGAAAGGAGGGGAGAGGTACCCTAAGGGACAGGGAATGGAGGGGAGATGAACACTAAGGGACATGGAAGGTAGACGAGAGGTGACTAAGGGACAGGGAAGGGAGAGGAGAGGTACACTAAGGGACAGGGAAGGGAGAGGTACGCTAAGGGACAGGGAAGGGAGTGGAGAGGTACACTAAGGGACAGGGAATGAAGGGGAGAGGTACACTAAGGGACAGGGAATGAAGGGGAGAGGTACACTAAGGGACAGGGAAGGGAATGAAGGGGAGAGGTACACTAAGGGACAGAGAAGGGAAATGAGAGGTACACTAAGGGACAGGGAGGGGAGAGGAGCAAAAAATATTCTTAAAAACAAAATAATCTGACTGGTATGTATATTTTGTGCATTTACCAGTTAAAAAAGGTCTGCTAAAAAAAAAAGAATTAAATAAACATGTTCAGCAAACAGCAGATTTGTGTAGAAGTTGTTTCTTTTTTTCAAAACGGTAAACGTACAGAATATCGGTAAAGGTAAGTTATCAGCTATCGGCCTGAAAATTCACAGATTATCGGTATTGTCTCTAAAAAATCAATATCGGTCGATCCCTAGAGGAGATTCCAAAGGACTCTCTGAAGGGGTTAAATTGTTTTTCAAGTACTAAAAACTCTCAACTGGTAACCATCAATAGGAGTGCATCAATCACAGTTACCCAGGCAGATGAACAAGATGGCGTGCAGCAGCACCGTGATTTGAGTCTGGGGTTTGGAAAATCGTTAAACCATTATACCCCTTGGGGTAAGGCAGCACCTAGGAGCTCCATACCTCAAAACCGCTTAATTCATATTAAATTATTTTAAAGGATGAAAGTCCCTTCAAAAAAAATGAATAAATCTGTAGTATAAGAGGTCATGTACTATTTTACGAGGAGTTGTAAGGATATGTATCAATGTAGACTAGGATGGGGTATCATTTCAATGCAGACATTTGTAAGCTACAATTCTTGTGATGCTTACCCACCCTTGCAAATAGTGTGTTAAGAAAATTCATCACTGTTCTAGCCAGAATATCAATTACATATAGACAGTGGCGTACATACAGGTGTCGCAGCTCCGACCAGGCCCGTCTCTCCAGGGGGCCCGGCTGCCCTGCAGACCCCTGCGACCAGGTGCAAGCCGCCATGTGGTGCGGCCCCGCACGTGAAGGGGCCCATCAGGTGGCCCATGCTTTTAGGGCCACCCAATGGCTATGGATTTTCAGGGGGCCCGGTCAGTGCTGCGGCGCTTGAACAGCACGACTGGGCACCCTGAGATGACATCAGATGCTGGGAGGAAGTGACTGCCCCGGTCACTCCTCCCAGGTATCAGACAGAGCTGCGCGGGAGGAAGAGAGGAGAGGAGGGAGTCAGAGTGGGAACTCTGATTGCCATCAGGCTGAGCCACCACTGGACCCCATGGGAAGTCACCTTCCTGCATCTAAAAGGTAGGAAACAGGAGAGTGACTAGAATATTTTGTATATGTGAATGTTTCTCTGTCTGTGTGTGTTTGTATGTATGTGTCTGTATGTATGTATGTGTGCTTGTACAGTCGCGTACATACAGGGGTCGCAGCTGCGACCGGGCCCGACACTCAAGGGGGCCCGGCCGCCCTGCGACCAGGTGCCCACCACCATGTGTTGCGGCCCGCGTGGTGTAACTACTGGGGGGGAGGGTGGGGGGGGGCGACAGATCAATTTTTGCACCGGGCCCCATGGAACGCAGAGCGGGCAGACTATGTGTGAAGCTTAGTTTCTGTGTGGCATAATGATCTCGCTCTCTGGTTTGTGAACAGGAAAGCATGGTTGGAGGGGCAGATAAGAATTTTATGCTTTTTGTTAAAATATGTAAAAATTTAAAATAAAACCATTTTAAAAGAGTTTTATACTGCCACCAGTGTGGCTATAATCCTGGAACAAAACAGTAACACAAGACAGAAAATGATTTTATATTGCTTTATGGCAATGTTTGCAAATTATAAGTATACATATATACACACGCACACAATACACATTTCAATCAGATTCCCTTTCACCGTTTTATTGCTAGAGGGTAGGTTACATGAGGAATTGCCTACCCTCTGGCACGGAATACATTAAAAAGCTTCATATACCAGTAAAGCACTGTAGCCGCCACAATGATACAAACTGTACTACTATCATTTTATTTATACAGTCGCTGATTTTTTGTTGTGGAGTATTCTTTATGCTGTATTGGTGGTTACAAGACCCATGGGCATAAAAACAATGGAGTTTTCTCTTTTTCAAAGAGTTTAATTACAAATATATTTGCACGAGCTCCCTAGGACTACCTTGAAGACAAGATACATCTCAATGAATCCTTTGTAACAGCATCACAATCTCCCTATGCTTTACAAGGACATTCAAGCCCAATATAACTCCTGCCATTTTCCCTGTTTTACTTTTGTTAACACCAATTCTCATTATTGTGAATGTTCTTGGTCTTTGGGACTCATCTCCTACGTTTCCCCTCAAGAGCTCCTTTTTACAACACAAGTTAAAGAAAGGGTAGCTGCAATAAACCCCGCCTTCCACGGCAACCAATATTGCAGCAACCCGTTTACAAACTTTTAAAGACAATAACCGAAAACGTGCACCTGATCACCTGAGAGCTAGCCAGTGACACCATAAGGGTAGCCCTTTGAGAAACAAAACACTCAGAGCAATACGGAGAGACCTTGAAATGTGTGTTGGGAGTGCAGAGCTTGTGCATCTTATCAAAGGCGACAATCGAGCTAAGGGACGATGAGAGAACAATGAGGGAAGACAGAGGGCAGCGTCTGACTAGATGAAGTATGTTCAGTGTTCAAGCAGGGATAGGCAACTTTCGGCACTCCTGATGTTGTTGTGGACTACATCTCCCATAATGCACTTATAGCCATGATGCTTTAAAAGTGTCAGGGGAAATGGAGTCCACACCAGGGGAGTGCCAATGATTGCCTACCCCCTGCCATATACTGTGCCCATTAAAAACTGTTCTCTGACCCTCTACATTCAGACTTGGTTAATGTTTATGTTACTCTGGGAAAAGCTACACTGTTCTAGGTAATTTCTTTGGGAATCTACAACTCTCTCTTTCTTCAGAGGGGTTATAATCACTGCAGGGAAGCTGCCTAACCAGCCAGGGCAGACCTGAAAAGTAACCTCTGGAGAGGGTCAGACACTGTATAAGGACACGTCTGGTTCCGCAGCTAGGGACCAGTTCCCCAGTTTCTGATACATTCTGCTTGGTGAAATAGTTTATAAATATTTCATTCACAGTGCCAGCAAAGCAACGAACACTGCATTTTTTCAGAATTTTTATTTTAAGCATTTTAATAGATGCATATGTCTATATTCCATGCATTTTACAATTAAACATTATACTGCGTGCTGAAATATTAGGGACGGCATCACATCCTCATGCAATCATATGATTAAAAACATAGAATGTGATGGCAGATAAGAACCATTCGGCCCATCTAGTCTGCCCAATTTTCTAAATACTAAATCTCTTTCCTCAGATGTTGAGGTTAGGACTCTATCAAATATTCTGTACTCTGCCCTTGGGTTTTTACGTCCAAGATGCATTATCTTGCACTTATCCGCATTAAATGTCAGTTGCCACAAATCTGACCATTTTTCTAGTTTACCTAAATCATATGCCATCTGGCTTATCTCTCCTGGAATACTATCTTAGTATAATCAGCAAAAAGACATACCTTACCATCAAGACCTTCTGCAATATCAGTAATAAAAATATTAAAGAGAATGGGTCCAAGTACAGATCCCTGAGGTACCCCACTGGTAACTAGACCTTGCTTCGAATATACTCCATTGATTACAACCCTCTGTTGTCTGTCACTCAGCCACTGCCTTACCCATTCAACAATATTGGAATCCAAACTTAAAGATTGCAGTTTATTGATAAGCCTTCTGTGTGCAACAGTGTGAAAAGCCTTACTGAAATCTAGGTAAGCAATGTCTACTGCACCACCCTGATCTATAATTTTAGTTACCCAATCAAAAAAAAAAAAACAATAAGATTAGTTTGGCATGATCTGCCTGACGTAAACCCATGTTGTCCCTGATCTTGAAATCCATGTGCTTTAAGATGTTCAACAATCCTATCCTTTAACATGGTTTCCATTACTTCCCTCACTACTATAGCTGCCCAACTCCTCCCTACTACCTTTCTTGTGCATGGGCACAACATTCGCTAACTTCCAATCTTCTGGGACTACTCCTGCTAACAGTGATTGGTTGAATAGATCTGTTAATGGTTTTGCTAGTAGACCACTAAGCTCTTTTAATAACTTTGGGTGTATTCCATCAGGTCCCATTGACTTATTTGTCTTTACTTTTGACAGTTAAAATAGAACCTCTTCCTCTGTAAACTCACATGTAACAAATAACTCATTGTCCTTTTTCCCAACTGAGGCTCCTTTCCTTCATTTTCATCTTTAAATACAGAACAAAAATATTCATTGAGGCAGTCAGCTAGACCTTTATCCTCTTCTACATACCTTCCTTCTTTAGTTTTTAATCTAACTAATCCTTGTTTTACTTTTCTTTTTTCATTTATGTATCTAAAAAAATGTTTTGTCCCCCTTTTTATTTTTTTTACTGACTGTGCTTTTTTCTCTTCTGTGTGTGATTTGGAAGCTCTTGTAACTAGCTTAGCCACTTTTTTCCTAATCTTATAGATCTGTCTATCTTCCTCATTCTGTTTTTTTTATTATTACTAAATGCTAACTTTTTACTATTTTGGCCACATCTGTGGAGTACCACAGTGGTTTCTTGAATTTTTTGCTTTTACTGACAAGCCTAATGTAATTTTCTGTTGCCTTCAGCAATACAATGTTTAAATAGTCCCATTTCTCTTGGACTCCATTTAAATTGCTCCAGTCTGATAATGACTCCTTTACACATATTCTAATTTTCGAAAAGTCTGTTTTAAAGGACCACTATAGTGCCAGGAAAACATACTCGTTTTCCTGGCACTATAGTGCCCTGAGGGTGCCCCAACCCTCAGGGTCCCACTCCCGCCGGGCTGGATGGCAAGGAAAGGGTTAAATCTTACCTTTTTTCCAGCGCCGGGCGGGGAGCTCTCCTCCTCCTCTCCACCTCTTCGGCTGAATGTGCATGCACGGCAGGAGCTGCGCGCGCATTCAGCCAGTCTCACAGGAAAGCATTCATAATGCTTTCCTATGGACGCTGGCGTCTTCACACTGTGATTTTCAATGAGACAGCCTCTAGAGGCTTTAGAGGCTGGGTTAACCCTATTATAAACATAGCAGTTGCTCTGAAACTGCTATGTTTATAAAAAAAGGGTTAATCCTAGAGGGACCTGGCACCCAGACCACTTCATTAAGCTGAAGTGGTCTGGGTGCCTAGAGTGGTCCTTTAAGTCTAAAACTTTTGTTTTTGTGTGGTGTGACTCAGTCACTGTTCTTATATTAAACCACACTGACTAATGATCACTGGATCCTAAACTTTCACTTACAGTAATCAATTGGATTGATGTTTCATCACCCTTTTGCCCCCTCCCATCTAGTTTAAATACATCCTAACAAAATCTCAGAACTGCTCACTGAGAACATTTGTTCCCTTTTAAGAAAGATGCAAACCATCTTTTTTTGTACAGTTTATTTCCATTCCAAACAAAGCTACCTTGAGAAATTAAGTCAAATCCTTGCTCCCGACACCATTCACCAACCCACAAGTAAAAGTCCCTAATACGCATCCGCCTGTCGTTCTGAGTGTTTTGCACAGGCCGAACTTCAGAGAATGACAATGTGGAAGCAACCTGCCGTATATCATTGGCAAAAACACAAACAACTTCCTTTACCTCTGAAACCTCATTACAAGCCAAGTCATTTGTCCCTAGATGGACAAGTACATCCAATTCCCCTTCCTGCTTTGTTCGCTTAAAGGACCACTATAGTGCCGGGAAAACAAACTCAGGGCCCCCCTCCTGTTGGGCTAAAGGGGTTAAAACCCCTTCAGCCACTTACCTTTCTCCAGTGCATTCAAACCACCCATAGGAAAGCATTACTCAATGCTTTCCTATGGACGTACAGCTTCTTCTTCAGAAGCGCCTCTAGCGGCTGTCAGTGAGACAGCCACTAGACGCTGGATTAACCCTCGGTGAAACTGAAGGAAACTGCTATGTTTACAGCTACAGGGTTAAAACTAGAGGGACCTGGCACCCAGACCACTTCATTGAGCTGAAGTGGTCTGGGTGCCTATAGAGGTCATTTAACAATATTACAAATACGTCTCCTGTCTCTGTGAGCAGTAGTTCCCGGGAAGACATCTCACAAGACCATTATTGGTCCACACCTCTTATGATAGAATCCCTCAACAACAACTGCTTTTTATTAGGCCTCACTTAATCAAACCTTGTGCAATCAGTAACCTCTTCCTACAGATGAATCTTACCTGTAACAGTAAAAAGAAAACTCTTAGCAAAACCTTAGACTGTTTGAAGATTCTGTAAAACTAAAAGAATATCTCCAATCACACACTTTGAAGCAGCACTTACAAATAGCAACCAAGCTATTAATTAGATTAATGGGGAGTGTAAGATTTTGATTTAACTAAGGGACACTTGGAACTGGCAACCCCCCCAACACTATATTTAATGGGATTGTTATAGACACAGAACCATACTGGACTTTTGCAGTGCAGGTGTGTGTTTGGTTTTATTAGAGTGTATTTTTGTGTTACTAGACATGCTATGAGTCGTATTGTGTATTTACTGTGTGACTGTTGCTTAAAGTCGGTCACCGTGTTGTTTATTGGGCACCTATAAAATGATATGTCTACTCTCTTAAGTAGGCTATTTTTAAGTAGGAGTTCAAAACCCTTGGAGAAATGCAACATTGTGGGCAGGGCCGGCATTGGGCCTGGTGCTGATAATTACAATGGGCTTAATTACATCAGTGTCCAGTGAAGCAGGATTTCGGTGGGCGGGGTAAAAGGGTGGGCCACTAATGTGAATCACGTAACCATAACCGCCCAAAGGGACAAACATGCCCAAAAGGGGGCGGGTCAGCACAAAGAATTAGATTGTCAGCCTGGCGTGATTGCACATCAGGCTGCCTGCCAATCATGCAGGATGACCAACCCATGGCATACTGTGTAGACAGCACCCTGAGCTTGGCATAAAAGCATCTAATGATGCGCTAGCTCTATGCTTTCTAAGGACTCAGCCCTAGCACTCGCTGGCCCACTCCTCTCCTAACCTTCTAACTAGCAGGCAGACGCTTCTGTTATAAATTCTGGGACAGAGAAAAAGTATGTAGTGAGTGTAGAAGAAAGGGAACACGATACAGTGTTAGAGAGACTGAAGCAGCAAGAGCATTTGCATAGTGCGCAAAGTCAGCTTTACCTTAAAGGGATCCTATAGTGCCAGGAAAACAAACCCATTTTCCTGGTAGTATGGGTTCTCGAAGAGCCTCCCTCCCTCGGCGCTGAAGGGGTTAAAACCCCTTCAGCCCCTTACCTTAAGCCTCTCCTCCCCCGCTGATGTCAACTCCCGAGTGGAGCCGAATATGCATGTGCGGCCAGAGGCGCGCGCTTATTCAAACCCGCCCATAGGAAAGCATTACTCAATGCTTTCCTATGGGGATCTTCGTTGACGCTGGACTCCCTGAGGATGTCCAGCATCAGATAAGTGCGATTTACTCAGTGTAAATCACGGAAGCACCTCTAGTGGCTGTCAGGAAGACAGCCACTAGAGGCTGGGTTAACCTTTCAGTATAAACAGCAGTTTCTCTGGAACTGCTATGTTTTCAGCTGCAGGGTTAAAACCTAGAAGTGGTCTGGGTGCCTATAGTAGTCCTTTAACTAATTTCATTGTCAGCCAGCCCACACCAGTTTTTGTTCCCCCACATCCCTCTTAAAGTTTCCATACCTAAGCAAGAGCACGTGAAGAATAGTAAAAAAAAAAAATAATACCGTTAATATTTGTTGTTGTTTTTCTTTGTGTGCTGCTGCTGAGTTGAGAGGCTGAGAAGTGTTCCCTTAATTTCTACCTGTGTGGGTTTTTGTATGCCTATATAAACCAACAACTTACTCACTGAGCTTGCTTACTCCGAGCTTGCTTAAAAGTAGCCTATTTTAAAGAAGAAGTTCAAAACCAGGAGTTTAATCCAACAAGTTAAATGTTGTTTTACTGTCCTATACTGGGTGCTTTTGAAAACTGGAAATGGGTGTTAGCAAGATTGAAGTTTTGACTCAGTGCACATCTTGCTACATGTATGCATGCCGTCCAGGTGTGAGCGAGTACCTTCTCTGGAAGCTCGTATTGTGAGCTATAGACCTGTGAGCTTACAGTCAGTGGCTGGGAAAATGTTTTCAGGGTTGTTAAGGAAAGTATTTAGGAATTCATTGGGAAGAACATTGTTATTAGCAAAAATCAGCATTATCTTATGAAACCTAGGTCATGTTACATTAACTTAGTTGCATTCTATGAAGAAGTATAGATCAGGGTCTTGCAGTGGATGTGATCTACTTGGATTTTGCAAAGGTGTTTGATCCAGTTCCACAGAACAGGTTAGTGTTCAAACCAAAAAAAAAAAAACATTGGTGTTCATGAATATTCTTGTTCTTCCATAGAAGAACATTGACTTAATGATAGAGTTCAGAAATTTGTCATTAATGGTAAATTTTTCAGATGGACAAAAGTGGTAAGTGGTCCCCCTCAAGGTCATGTTCTGGGACTGCTTCTATGTAACATATTTATACATTATCTTGAAATAGGTATTGTTTCAGGGTTTGCAGATGACACAAAACTCTGTAAAAGAATACAATGTGAGCCGGATATTGCTTCGCTGCAGAGGGATTTATATAAATTGGGGTCTGGGCACTCAAATGGCAGATTCAATTTAATGTAGATAAATGCAAAGTAAGCACTTGCGGGTAAAGAATTCATAAGCTACTTACACCCTAAATGGTAGTTAATTAGGGATAACAACACACAAGAAGGATTTGGGAATTGTTATAGACAACAAACTAGGCAAAAATGTTTAATGTCAATCAGCAGTTGCTAAGGCCAGCCACGGGCATTCATTCTCAGGATGAAAATTAAATTTTGCGATCTTATAAATAAATGGTAAGATCACACCTTGAATGTGCTGTGCAATTTTGGGCACCCTTATCTAAAGAAGGATATTATGGCACTAAAATAAGTGCAGAGGCGGGCTACAAAATAAATAAAAGGAATGGATAATTTTGGTTATGATTAAAGGTTAACACACTTAAATTTGTTACGTTTACAAAAAAGGTGCTTGGAAGGTATTATGATAGCAATGTACAAATATATTCGGGGCCAATACCAACCATTGTCTGAAAAAAAATCTATTTATAAACAAGACTATACTTAGTACACAAGATCACGCATACAGACTGAAAGAAAGGAGATTTAGTCTAAGGCAAAGGAAAGTGTTTTTACAGTGAGAACAATAAGGAAGTGAATTTCTTAGCCTGAAGAGGTGGTTTCATCATAGTCTGCACAGATGTTTACACCGCAACTGGATTAGGGATGTAATTTGTAATTAGTGAGATAATAGCTTCTTAAGCCAAGGAGAGATCTGGCTGAGATTATCGGATGAAGAAGGATTTTATTTTCACGTTTGTTACAAAATTGAAAGTGCTTCAAACTGTGTTTTTGTTTGTTTTATTTTCCTTTTTTGGGGATCAAGATCAAAAACAAACGTGTGAAAGACTGACTTGATGGACGCATGTCTCTTTTCAGCCTATGTAGCTATGTACCATGTGACTTACAGTAGATGTGTGTGCCTTACTATTTAGCTAATACAGGGGCTGTTTGTTTTACTGTAGGTCTGTGTGCTTTGTTGTATAATCATAAGGGGTTCAGTGTGAAAAGCAATGATACTTTGTTCATCTGAGGGAAAATTATTTCTAAACACTGCATGTAGTGTTGAACTAAACCCATCCCACAAGCTCTGGCCAGTATGTATCAATTAGCACAATATAACTGCCACTAATAACAATAACCAATGGCCATGGGGACAATTTATTTTACACACTGTACACTTATAAAGCCACACTGTACAGGGAGAGGAAGACCAGGTAACTCTAAGCACCATAACCACTACAACTTATTTTAGTGGTTATGTTACAAGCAGTGTTTTGGAGGGCACCCACTATATTTGAGTGGTCTGAAAAAAAAAAGGGGCTGTCCTACCTATCAAAGCCTGTGTCTTAAAACTAGTAATTTGAACACTATGTCCAACACATCATCTGCTACTCAGATAACACATAGCTTTCACACAATCTAGAAAATGATACCAAGTCACATGCACACACACTGCAGTCTAATATACACAAAGGCTATACAAATATTTGAAATTGTTTATGTTTAATGATAATAAGATGTAAAACAGACATCCGTGAGCAGTAGAAATACCACCAACCTTACAATTAGAGAACTGGTTTTAGAACCCGAGTTTTAACCGAGCAGGTTATATCGGTTATATAAACTGACAGCTTGAAAAATTAGAGCTGAAGCTGTATTATCATGAAATTCTGGCCCGGTGACATATGATCAGCAATGCTGTAAAGGAAGATATTATTTAGGTAACTTGCTATGAACAAGCAGATATAAACATGACATTATATACTTCCCAGAATGCCGTGTCTTGTACTGGGCAGTGAGTACAGCTATTTACTCTAATACTGGCTAAGACAGAGATTAGAGTAACCATGTTACCAATACATTCATTTTAGGACTTATAGGAACATTCCAAGCACCATGTGCACTACCCTCAGCCAAAAGCACTCAACTCTTAGACAAGAACAGAGGTGCAGGGTTTAGCTGATTGGCCGAGTGTGATAAGGCGACAATCTCAGCCAATAAGCTGACTCTGGCAGGGCTTAAAGGGACACTCCAGGCACCAAAACAACTTCATCTAAATTAACCAATTCTCAAACAGTTTAACCCCTAAGTGGCCCCCAGTGGCTTCCGAATTGTGAGATTTAGGAAGCATGGAGTGCCACTGGGCAGAAGTGCTGCTGCCTGGTTGAGAGAGGTCAACTGAGGCTCTCAGCCAATCAGTAATTCTCCATTCACTAAACTGGTTTGCAAAGAAACGTACCTTTTGCACGCTAGTTAGCGATTCTCAGAGAATTGTACCTTTTGCACGCCAGTTAGCGATTCTCAAAGAATTGTACCTTTTGCATGCCATGTGAGCGATTCTCAAAGGATTGTACCTTTTGCACGCCATGTGAGCGATTCCCATAGAATTGTACCTTTTGCACGCCATGTTAGCGATTCTCAAAGAATTGTACCTTTTTCAAGCCAGTTAGCAATTACCTTCGGCTCCTGTTGCTTAAGATGTCAAGAGCCACAAGTGTACAATACTGAGGTTTATGGAAGATCCCGCAAACCTCCATAGACAGAGACGAAATGCCACAGCCATCATTCGTGGTGGCTGCTGGGATTGAAGAAAAGTTAGGAAAATTCTCTAAATCAGCTACGCTCCAAGTTCAGATACTCTGGCCTTAAATGTGAAATTATCTTTGAATTCACACTTTAGTGAATAATCGGGTAAAGCTATATGAAATACAGAAAAGTGACAGGTCCACTTTAAATTATAATTTGAGACCATAACTTGTATTTTACAAGCCTCTAAAGATTGTGCACAGCACTGCAATAGCACAATAATGCATTCATCGTTTTTATTTGTACATTGGATAGCACTCTGATTAGCACACTGCAGAAATAGAACACTCACTAGAATGACATCATTATGTATTTGAATAATAAGCACACTTTACAATATGGCGTATTTGCTGTTGTTGGGTGTCTTGGTTTTAGAAATGTACTGCTGTAGATATTCCATTATCAAATAGTAGTCTTTCAGCGGTTACAAATTGATGCTCTTGCAGTACTATCCCAAAATAGACACATTACATACATCTTACGGTACACTGTGCTTTTCCAAGCCATGCCCTTTGACCCTAGGCTATGCATAGGTTTACTGAATATGTTAATCCACATGCAATACCGTCTAAACTGTAAATAATCTGTGTCACTAAAATGTGCACAATCAGAGTTAAGCACTAAAAAGGGAATTGTTGGAAATGTAAAGTAAATTTTAAATTGCCATAATATTTTAAAATCACTTGGTATTCACTTTTAATTTCCCACAATTCATACATTAATAAAAAAAATTGTCTATCACAATACTTGCAAATTCTAGAAATTCTAGCAACAATATATGGACATTATAAACTAAAATATGGATGTTCTGTAACATTGATCTTTAAAAGCAACAATACCCATCCTTGGCACCCCGGATTATATTATTTGTCAATTATATTTCTCATGATTTTCCGCAACTACTTAAACTGGATTAGCATCTTACAAATTGTAGTTTACAACTATCTCGGATGCTAGAATAGGCCTCAGGATATATATCTATATATAATTTTGAAGTCAGTAACATTTTCTGGGTAACAGATAAAATGTATCTACTTTATCACATTGTTTCCTTAGCCAAGGAATCTACACTGCATAGTTCAGACAAGAGGAATTGTTCTCAGTTCAGTCTACAATGAATTTGCTGGGGTCCAAAAAGGAATGTGTTGCTGCCAACTGCCAAATTTAACTGTCAACAACTTGAATCAAGTTGGACTTACAGTAGACTCTTTTCATACAGACAAATACTCCAGCAGTATCCTGGATTTTCATCTTCTTTGCTACAAATACACATTCCTTGCATCCAGAGCGTGAGCACAATGACAGATGAAATCAATGGGTTACAGCTTGGAAAACCCTGAATAGTGAATTTGATGGATGACCAGGGCTGACTTGAGGTACACACAAGCTCGGCAAAAAGTGAAAGTACCTCTCTTCTTCTGTCTTTTTATTTATTCATTAACATCTCAGACATTCTTTTCTCCTCATTTGTTCTTCAAATATATTAACCCTTTCCTGCAACACCATTCTGATGTTACCCAGTACTGTATTATACTAGTCATCCCACAAATCCCCACGTAGGTAACTTTCTCCTCCTTGAAGGATCTGCAGTTACGTTATTTCATTTAAGATATATATATTCTGTCACTTACTGGGATGACAGATTGTCTGTTGTAAGCCTGGATCTGTAGCCTTATATTTATATACTATTACTGTGTACATCAGCGGTTCACAAACTGCGGTTCACACAGGGGCACGGTGAGATATTTTCCCGGTGCTGATAGCACTGGGAACTGTGCTCTCCCCTGCCGGCTCTGCAGGATTGGAGGGGAGATGAGAAATCTCCCTCACCGGCCCGCTAGCAGTGTAATGCGGCAGCAGGCAGGGGAGAGAGAGAGGACCTGCAGCTCCGCCGGGTTCTTCTCTCGCAAGCTCGGAGTGTTGCCGTGGTTTTTACGTCCAAGATGCATTATCTTGCACTTATCCACATTAAATATCAACTGCCACAACTCTGACCATTTTTCTAGTTTACCTAAATCATTTGCCATTTGGCTTATCCCTCCTGGAACATCAACCCTGTTACATATCTTAGTATCATCAGCAAAAAGACATACCTTACCATCAAGACCTTCTGCAATATGACTAATAAAAAATATTAAAGAGAATGGGTCCAAGTACAGATCCCTGAGGTACCCCACTGGTGACAAGACCATGCTTTGAATATACTCCATTGACTACAACCCTCTGTTGCCTGTCACTCAGCCACTGCCTTACCCATTCAACAATGTACCCCTCACACACACACTGTACTCCTCATGCACAAACTGCCCCCCACACACACAATACATCCTTCACAAACAAAATGCACCCCTGTACACACACTGCACCCCTCACAAGCACACACTGCCACCTTCAGAAGCACATGCACTCCTCACACACACTGCAGCCCCTAACCCGGCACACCTCAGGTAAGTTGTCAAACTGTTCTTAAACAGTTTGACTACTTACCCTGGGAGGGCAATACTGGCACCATAACCACCATATCATAATGTAGTGATTATTGTGCCTGGGTTGTTTCTTTAAATAATCTACCAGTGCCACTCCCAAGATTAGATTCTGGATCTGCTCCTGAACGGCAAGCATTTCTCCAGAACAGGGGCCCAGTATATGCCGCAGCACTGTACATACATACAACCTAGAAAATTGTTTTTACTTGGGGCGCCTTGGAAAAATATTAACGGCGCCATGAGCCTAAAAGGTTTGGGAACCACTGGTGTACATCATCAGTCTAGTAATTCTGCAAAATTCACCTAGTACAGATAAGCCACTGGGGTATTTATTCAAGAAAGTCTAAATTGTAGCAAACGGAAAGTCAATGTGCAATATTTAGACAGTAACAGCGAGTTTAGAAAAATTATCCAACTCACCTAAAGTCACAACTTGGCGCTTTTAGACAAAATGTCCAATGAATTAAATTCACTGCAATTTGCTGTTTAGTGAATCAACTCCTGAATGCTACAACAGGTGTATTATTTTAAAATATATCAATAATATTAAAATAATTAGTACAGAAATGATCATGCGGGCTACACAAGTTCTCTCCTTTTGTATACTTAAAAACGAAGGCAAACAACTGAACATAACCTTCTGTTTTGCAAACATAAAATGGTTTATTTTGCTGTGAATCAGAGTTAAGCCTGATGTTTATCAACATTCCACACAGTTTACAAAAAAACACCAAGAAAAATGAGTCAGGATAGAAATGAGTTTGCTTAGCAGAACAAATGATGTCACTTCCACCTCTAAACTTTTGCTGATCACATCATTTGTCAGAGCCTGCTCCGAACAACTGAGGATCCCAACAATGAAACCCATTGTAAATATTTTATAAGTGGGTTCTAATGTAAACTAGGAAAAAAATTAAATTCAGATTAATTTGGAGACAGGGGTCAAAAATATCAGCCTTCCTGCCCACGTGTTTATTAAACATTTGAATGCTGGTTATCAAATCTTAAAATAAAATCCATCTTTGATACACAGGATGTTCAGGTTTAATCAACTGTCTGTTAATATGAATCCCCATTGTGTCTCTGGTAGATATATCAGAAATATGCACCCATTACTGCTGGTGATTCATGCTGAAAAACCTCAGCACTGCATTATGGTTATTTGCATGAACAAGAAGTCAGCATGGGAAGAAGGGTGGGGGGGAATTAAAGATACAGTTGACAAACAGTCATTTATTGCACGACTCTTGCAACAGGTTGACACATTACATATGCAGCAACAAAATATGTTCCTATCTGCTCACAAGCACATTTCAAAATATCACCTTATTCTTCAAAAAGATGCAGCCTAGTAGGTAATTAGGTTTATCATCATTGATTTAACTCCAATAAACTGATAATATCTTTGTTATTCCAGTGGCCATGCTTCAATTACAACTTACCCTACCTGCTAAACCTGTAATATGCAGTACTGTGTTACTCATGTACTAACAGGACAGGATGCAATGATTCTCCATAAAGGCACAGGACTTGTCATTGTTTCATTCTGGATTATTTGTTGGCATTACAATCATTGTAGTAGTTACCCTTGCCCCAGCAGACTCATGTTGTGCCCTCCGCCCTTACCCCAGCAGACTCATGTTGTGCCCTTTGCCCTTACCCCTGGAGACTCATGTTGTGCCCTCTGCCCTTACCCCAGGAGACTCATGTTGTGCCCTCCGCCCTTACCCCAGGAGACTCATGTTGTGCCCTCCTGCCCTTACCCCAGGAGACTCATGTTGTGCCCTCTGCCCTTACCCCAGCAGACTCATGTTGTGCCCTCTCCCTTACCCCAGCAGACTCATGTTGTGCCCCCTGCCCTTACCCCAGCAGACTCATGTTGTGCCCTCTGCCCTTACCCCAGACTCATGACTCATGTTGTGCCCTCTGCCCTTACCCCAGCAGACTCATGTTGTGCCCCCTGCCCTTACCCCAGCAGACTCATGTTGTGCCCTCTGCCCTTACCCCTGGAGACTCATGTTGTGCCTTCTGCCCTTACCCCAGCAGACTCATGTTGTGCCCTCTCACAGTGAGAACTTGGAATGTTCTGTTTCTCTCACAGTTACATTGTATCTCCTGCTGATCCTTTGCCCCATGTGCCATTAAACCTGGGCAACTGGAGCCGCTCACTTGTTGCCGGACTACCGTTCCCATCGCACAGCATGATAGGAGTTGTAGTCCAGCATTAACAGCCAGGCCTCTCTCAGGGCAGCCCAGCCCTTTTTACCCCCCGGTGCCAATGTGTGCCCACTCCCAGCAGCCCACTGCCAGCAGCCCACTCCCAGCCTGCCCCCCCGTGCCAATGTGTGCCCTCTCCCAGCAGCCCACTGCCAGCAGCCCACTCCCAGCCTGCCCCCTGCCAATGTGTGCCCACTGCCAGCAGCCCACTCCCAGCCTGCCCCCCCGTGCCAATGTGTGCCCACTGCCAGCAGCCTGCCCCCTGCCAATGTGTGCCCACTCCCAGCCTTCCCCCCCGTGCCAATGTGTGCCCACTGCCAGCAGCCCACTCCCAGCCTGCCCCCTGCCCGGTGCCAATGTGTGCCCACTCCCAGCAGCCCACTCCCAGCCTGCCCCCTGCCCGGTGCCAATGTGTGCCCACTCCCAGCAGCCCACTCCCAGCCTGCCCCCTGCCCGGTGCCAATGTGTGCCCACTCCCAGCAGCCCACTCCCAGCCTGCCCCCTGCCCGGTGCCAATGTGTGCCCACTCCCAGCAGCCCACTCCCAGCCTGCCCCCTGCCCGGTGCCAATGTGTGCCCACTGCCAGCATAGCGCCCCCTGCCGGCCCCATTACCTGCTGTGAGTCCGGCCACACTGATTGCCACGCTGTGCTCCCGGCTCTCCGGCACCATCACTGGCCCCGGCAGCTCGCTCAGCCTCCAGCTCGCCAGCCTTGCCACCCGAGGCACCGCCTAGCCCGCCTCGCTGGCCACGCCCCCCGCATACCAAGCTATTAGCGTAATGACCGGCCCACTCCGCCGAAACCACGCCCACCGACCCGCCCATCACAGCACAGGCCACGCCCACACACCATGGGATGGGAACTTCCCGAACTCCAGAAAAAACCCAGAGCGCAGTAACCAGTAAATATCATTATATTATATTATATCATTATATTATATTATATTATATCATTATATTATATTATATTATATCATTATATTATATTATATTATATCATTATATTATATTATATTATATCATTATATTATATTATATTATATCATTATATTATATTATATCATTATATTATATTATATTATATCATCATATTATATCATCATATTATATTATATCATTATATTATATTATATCATTATATTATATCATATTATATTATATCATTATATTATATCATTATATCATATCATTATATCATATTATACCCAGAGCGCAGTAACCAGTAAATAATATTATATCATTATATTATATTATATTCTATCATTATATTATATTATATCATTATATCATATTATACCCAGAGCGCAGTAACCAGTAAATAATATTATATCATTATATTATATCATTATATTATATTATATTCTATTCTATCATTATATTATATTATATCATTATATTATATTATATCATTATATTATATCATATTATATCATTATGTTATATCATTATATTATATCATTATATTATATTATACCCAGAGCGCAGTAACCAGTAAATAATATCATTATATCATATCATTATATTATATCATTATATTATATCATATTATATCATATCATTATATCATTATATCATATTATACCCAGAGCGCAGTAACCAGTAAATAATATCATATTATATCATATTATACCATATCATATTATACCCAGAGCGCAGTAACCAGTAAATAATATCATTATATTATATCATTATATTATATCATATTATACCCAGAGCGCAGTAACCAGTAAATAATATTATATCATTATATTATATCATTATATTATATCATATCATACCATATCATATTATACCCAGAGCGCAGTAACCAGTAAATAATATCATCATTATATTATATCATATTATATTATATTATACCCAGAGCGCAGTAACCAGTAAATAATATCATTATATTATATTATATCATTATATCATATTATACCCAGAGCGCAGTAACCAGTAAATATTATTATTATATTATATCATATCATATCATTATATTATATTATATTATATCATTATATATCATATCATATTATATTATATTATATCCAGAGCGCAGTAACCAGTAAATAATATCATTATATTATATTATATCATATCATTATATTATATTATATCATATTATACCCAGAGCGCAGTAACCAGTAAATAATATTATTATATTATATCATTATATCATTATATCATATTATACCCAGAGCGCAGTAACCAGTAAATATTATTATATTATATTATATCATATTATATTATATCATATTCTATTATATCATATCATTATATCATATCATATCATTATATTATATCATTATATTATATCATATTATACCCAGAGCGCAGTAATCAGTAAATAATATCATTATATCATATCAATATATTATATCATTACATCATTATATTATATCATTATATTATATCATATTATACCCAGAGCGCAGTAATCAGTAAATATCATTATATCATATCAATATATTATATCATTATATTATATTATATCCAGAGCGCAGTAATCAGTAAATAAAATATTATATCATATTATATCATATCATTATATTATATCATATTATATCATATTATATTATACCCAGAGCGCAGTAACCAGTAAATAATATTATTATATCATTATATTATATCATTATATTATACCCAGAGCGCAGTAATCAGTAAATAATATTATTATATCATTATATTATATCATTATATTATATTATACCCAGAGAGCAGTAACCAGTAAATAATATTATATTATATCATTATATTATACCCAGAGCGCAGTAACCAGTAAATAATATATTATATCATTATATTATATCATATTATATCATTATATTATATTATACCCAGAGCGCAGTAACCATTAAATAATATTATATTATATCATTATATTATATTATACCCAGAGCGCAGTAACCAGTAAATAATATTATATTATATCATTATATTATATTATACCCAGAGCGCAGTAACCAGTAAATAATATATTATATCATTATATTATATCATATTATATCATTATATTATATTATACCCAGAGCGCAGTAACCAGTAAATAATATTATATCATTATATTATATTATACCCAGAGCGCAGTAACCAGTAAATAATATTATTATATCATTATATTATACCCAGAGCGCAGTAACCAGTAAATAATATTATATCATTATATTATATTATACCCAGAGCGCAGTAACCAGTAAATAATATTATATCATTATATTATATTATACCCAGAGCGCAGTAACCAGTAAATAATATTATATTATATCATTATATTATATTATACCCAGAGCGCAGTAACCAGTAAATAATATTATATTATATCATTATATTATATTATACCCAGAGCGCAGTAACCAGTAAATAAAATATTATATCTGTCAGGATTACTGTTTGATCCAGCACGTAGAACTGTACAGCATGGATGACAAATAAGTAACGTATTACCGGTCCTTAGAATGGCCGGATTTAACGTACAAAGAATAGTCAAAAATACTAGCCGAGGTCAGGGAACACAGAAAGGGACACAGAGATGAGGAAAGCCAGGAGTCAGGATACCAGAATATAGAGAAGTCAATAAACAAAGCCAAAGTCAAAAACCAGGTAGAAAACTATAAACAGGAACGCGCTCTCAGACAACCACAAGGGAAACCACGACAGGGCACTGAGCAGGCTGAGAACTGGGCCTAAATACCCCTCCTTTAGTTCTGATAGGCTGTAACCGGCCTTTGACCCCAAAGTCAGTTACCAGGTTTCATTTGCATAATTGCTGCTCAGCATTAACCCTTCTGTGGATTAGGTTGCTGCTCGGCACAACTTTTCCTGTGTGGACAGTAAATGTCATTAACCACTTTTCTATAAGCGGATGAATACGTGACACCAGGTTTCATTTGCACAATTACTGCTCAGCATTAACCCTTCTGTGGATTAGGTTGCTGCTCGGCACAACTTTTCCTGTGTGGACAGTAAATGTCATTAACCACATTTCTATAAGTGGATGAATACGTGACATTACCCCCCACCTGAAGAACGCCCACCGGGCGGACAGGACCAGGCTTGAGAGGAAATTTAGCGTGAAAAGCGCGGATCTTACAGGCCCGCATGCAGGTCAGGAGCCGAAACCCAAGAACGATCAGCAGGACCGTAACCTTTCCAAACAACCAAGTACTGTAAAGTGCCCCGAGAAAACCTAGAATCCACGATAGAAGATACCTCATACTCTTCCTGACCACCCACCACCACCGGAGGGGAGGAACACAAGGAACAGTATATCTATTGCAGACAAGAGGTTTGAGTAAGGACACATGAAAAGTGTTGGGAATCCCTAAAGATGCAGGAAGAGCCAGAGAGTAAGACACTGGATTGATCCTACGAAGCACTCTATAGGGACCAAGGAACAGCATTGTTTCTAGCGAACTCGGCCCACGGGAGTAGTTCGGACCAATTGTCTTGTGTGCTATTAATAAAACAACGCAAATAAACTTCTAATGACTGGTTAGCCCTCTCAGCTGTACCATTGGTCTGTGGATGGTAGGAGGAGGAGAAGGAGAGATCAATCCCCAATTGTTTACTGAATGCCCTCCAGAACCTGGACACAAACTGAGAGCCCCTATCAGACACAATATTGTGGGGGATGCCATGCAAACGGACAATTTCACGTATGAAAATTAGGACCAAATCTTGCGAAGATGGCAACTTCTTGAGAGGAATGAAGTGAGCCATCTTAGAAAATCGGTCTACAACCATGAGAATAGTAGTGAACCCAGCAGAGCTAGGAAGCTCAACAATAAAGTCCATGGATAAGTGGGACCATGGAATCTCAGGAACAGGAAGAGGCTGCAACAGGCCACAAGGAAGTGCATGAGTCACCTTAGAAACTGCACACACAGAACATGCCTGCACATACTCCTTTACATCTTTCCTGAGTGAATCCCACCAAAATGATCTAGTGATCGCGGCAGTGGACTTATTGATGCCCGGGTGTCCAGCAGTTATATTGTCATGGAACACTTTCATGATATTAACCCTTTCACATAGGGGAACGAACAGTTTATCACACGGTTTACCACTGGGCGCCTGAGGCTGGGCCTCCAGTATGGTGCCAAGCAGTGGAGAAGACAGTGAGAGGACAGTAGTAGCAATAATACACTCTGGTGGAATAATAGGAGATGTCACCTGTTCTGGAGCTGACTCATTATCAAATTGCCTGGACAAGGCATCAGCCTTGGTATTTTTAGAACCAGGTCTATAAGTAATGAGAAAGTTAAAACGTGAAAGGAACAGTGACCATCTAGCCTGTCTGGAAGACAAACGTTTGGCATCCCCTATATATGCCAGATTTTTGTGGTCGGTTATGATCAACAGGGGGTCCTTGGTACCCTCCAAAAGATGTCACCACTCTTTGAGGGCAAGAATAATTGCCAACAGTTCTCTATTGCCAATATCGTAGTTGCGCTCAGCAGGAGACATCTTTCTGGAGAAGTAGCCACAAGGATGCAATGGTGTTCCCTGGCTTTCTCTCTGAGAGAGAACAGCCCCTACCCCTGTCTCGGATGCATCAACCTCCAATATAAAAGGTTTACTGGTGTCGGGATGTTTTAGTATGTCCGCAGAGGCAAATCTTTGTTTAAGAGTCTCAAAAGCATTCACAGACTCTTTGGACCATACCGTGCTACTAACCCCTTTGCGAGTCATATTTGTGATTGGGGCTATTACAGAAGAAAATCCCTTGATGAATCTTCTGTAATAGTTGGCAAAA